CAGACTATAGCCGTTTCAAAACAAAGACAGTAAACCACGTGTCGGTCCTATGGAACCCATTGACGAAGCCGAAAGGAATCTTCGGAGGACATATTAACATACGTAGCGTAATGTCTAAAACGGAACAGTTGGAACATCTACTGTTGGGATCAAATCTACATTACCTGTGTCTTTCTGAGACTTGGATTACAGCTACAACTCCTATATCGGCATTTATGATTCCGGGATATAAAGTATACAGACGGGACAGAGGAAAGGGAAAAGGGGGCGGGGTCTTGATTTACGTAAAAGACAGTATTGACAGTCATCAGATAGACATTCCAGATCAAACTATAGAGTGTGTCGGTGTTACAATCAAATTATCGCCTCAAATGTCATTTATTGTACTTTGTGTATATAGACCACCAAATGCAACAAGCGATTTTTATACTGGTTTAACAAAAATTTTAAAAACATATGAACGAAAGGAAATATTGCTCATGGGTGACCTCAACATAAATTGGCTTGATAAAGGCAAGAGAAAACAATTAAAAGACATTGCAAACTCAATACAAATGATACAATTGATTAAAAAACCTACTAGAATAACAAAAACGTCTCAAACTTTGATAGACCTAATATTCACCAATAAACCAGACAGGATAGTTAAAACATATAACCTAATAACTGGACTATCCTATCATAATTTAGGAAATTAAATAAATCAAGATACATAAACAAAGAACAATCAAATAAACAATGCAAATTTCCTCATATTCCTCAAAAAAATCAAGAACATTTTAAAAATGATTTAAATGAAATTGATTGGGCCTCCAAAATTGATAAAGAAAGCTGTGTACATACATGCAACAATATTATAACTGCTATAAAGAATAAAATTGATAAACATAGACAGCTCAAACATAGAAAATCAAATAAAAAGAGGCTCCCATGGTTTAATGAATACCTGTGGGATACAATAAACAGAGCGATAAAGCACTCAAGGTTTCTCTTAAAACGAAATTAACCACTGATTATTACATTTATAAATCTCTGAGAAATAAAGTTACCATGCTGCTTCGAAAAGCAAAAGCAAATTTTTTTCTAAATTTAATCAAAGAGGCAAAAGGAATCTGTGGAGAAGCATGGATAAATTAATGGGAAGGAGCATTTAAAACTCAAAATCAATGGAATTGTTCAAAATGAGGGCTCTATTCTGGCTAAACATTACAATGATTATTTCTTGGATTCTGTATTAGATCTCGCGGAGACTTTTCCTGAAGTGAACTGCTGCGGAGATGATCATGGGGATGGTAATGCTTCTCAGTGTAGGTTGCAGAATATAGATGAAGACAAAATTTCCAAAATAATATCAAATTTAAAAAATAGTAAAGCAAAGGATATATTTGGACTTGATACATCACTTTTAAAAGAACATATAACTATTCTAACTCCTGTATTAACAATAGCTGTGAATCAATCTATAAAGGAAAAACATTTTCCTTTGGCGTTAAAAAAAGCAGTAGTCAAGCCGATTTTCAAGTCAGGAGACAAGCTCTGTGTGTCAAACTATCGACCTATTAGCATTCTGCCAGCCATCTCTAAGATCTTTGAGAAGGTGGTGGCAGAACAACTAGTAGAGCATCTCGACCACACTGATGCATTACATCCTTGCCAGTTTGGGTTCAGGAAAAGATACTCCACAGAGTCTGCGTATTGCTACTTGATAGAAGATATTAAATCCAGTCTTGATGGTGGAGGTGTGGTAGGGGCGGTCTTTCTGGACTTGAGAAAGGCCTTTGATACAGTTAATCATTAGCTTCTCATTAGCAAACTATCAGATTTTTTTTCTTTTGACACAAATACAATAGCATCTTACCTTAATGACAGACAACAATGCGTTGTGGTTGACAATAAAAAATCACCAATAAGATCTTGTAGCATGGGAGTGCCACAAGGTTCCATTCTGGGCCCCCTGCTTTTTACCCTTTACATAAATGATCTACAAACTGTGTGTAAGAGTAAAATCATCATGTATGCTGATGATACGGTGCTATATGCACATGGTAAAACTGCGGAAGAAGTCAAAGTTGAAGAGATTAAGAAAGTTTCTTTGTGGCTGAAAAACTCATGCCTCACTCTAAATTTATATAAGACTGTTTCAATGTTTTTCAGAAATCGTTCTAAAATACAAATCTACCCTAATATTTTAATTGAAGGACAAATCATTTCAAATCAAGAACAGGTAAAATATTTAGGTGTCATATTGGAACCAAATTTAAGCTTTAAAAAACATATAAATAAGTTATCAAATACAATAAAATTTTATATGGCACAATTCAGATACATTCAAAATTCCCTTACAATCGAGGCCTCAGGAGTCTATCTGAATGCAATGATAGTTCCTCATTTTCGATATTGTATAACAAGTTGGTCACAGGCTACTAAAACTGCCCTCAAGCCACTTGAGTCATTATATAAAACCTCTCTAAAGATTCACGATCAGAAAAGCAGATGATTTCATCACTGTCATATTCTTTTAAAATACCAATTTTTCAGCTTTGAAAATTTGATAATTCATACCAATCTGTGTTTGATGTATAAGATCCTTTATGACAAAGCTGCTCCTCCTCTAAAACAATTTATCTCTTTGGGCTCTGAAACAACAACTCGAGCCACTAGATCTACAGTGCGAGGGGAATGCAGGATCCCTAAACGCAGGACAGCATTTGGAAACTCTGCTTTTTCTGGTGTGGCCGCTCATCAGTGGAATATGTTACCTACAGAGTTGTTTAAAAGTACAAGTTCTTACACGTTGACACGCCAGGCAAAGAAATGGCTTTTATTAAATCAATTTTTTTCCCATATGTGACCAGATGTATGTATGTGTGTATATAAGTGTGTGCTCTAAGGTCTGTATATGAAAGGTGTGAACATTTCCTTTTGTACATTTTTATTTTGTCATTGTAAATCTTATTATTCATGTATGTTTTTTATGTATCTTAACTTAACATCAGCCTGCCCAGGGACTACGGGTGAAAATTAGCTCTTGAGCTAAAACCCGGTACAATGCATCTTCCCCTTTGAGGTTAATGTTTATTGTACGTTGTCCCTGTTTCTCTAAATAAATAAATGAAAAAAAATAAAATAAAATTAAGAATAAACATTGAAGGGAAAAAATATAATAAAGATAAAGATAGAGCAAGTAATGCAGTTAAAGAATAATAACTATAAAATGTTAAATTGACAATAAGATATGAAAAATGTGAAAAAATAGTAAAGTATATTCTTTAGTATATAGTAAGTATATATTAGTAAGTATTTTCTAAAATGGAGTATTATATTTGTACAATTTGCAACAAAACTACAACTATTAAATATTGTAAGAGCATTCAGGTTTTTTAAAAAATCCCATGCGGTTATGTACCCAGTAAATTAAAGCCATGAAAAGGTAGTTTCCCCTCTGTGGTGTGTACATGTATGCCAGTGGTCACCAACCTTTTTGAGCCCAGGATCCCTGACCTCAGCCCTGAAGATCTACCTAATGAAGCGAGAGAAAGAAAGCCAAAATACTTCCAACTTGAGGCCTTTTATTTAGGCTAACTGGTGTATTAAACAGGTCATAGTTATTGCTTTATAAACTGTACATCACAACATCAATTTTTCTATTTACATTATAGCATTATGTAGATAAGGCCTAGGTTGTTGTATTCATAGTGGGAAAAAAATCAACACATTTTGTAATGAGCAGATCATATGTAGTGCTATTACAGTTAATTGTGAAGCTTAGGAACTTGCTTCATGTATGTTACTACATTTACATTGTATCATTCAAGAAAGTAGATTAATGGCAATAATTTCCCGAGTAAATGAAACTAAATGCAGGTCTAATCCATTTTATGCAGCATCACTTTCACAATACCAACAGGCAAAACGTTTGCACTAATGTTCACTCAAGTCAGTGTGATGCCTGTGATTGAATACTGTGTGTGAGTTCTTTGTAGTTTGGCTCATAGCTGCAGACAGCCAGTCTGAGGCAGTCTGTGAGGTGTCTGTCAGTAAGTTATTTTCATTTGTGAAAATGCCATTTCACAGAGGTAAGTGGATCCAAAGTAGGCACTCACTTTTAGTGCACATGCAGTGAGGAGAGGAAAAGTCCCCTAAGTCCCCAAAAGTCACTGTCCCTTGATCTGGCTTTCAGTTCTATGTCATTTAGCAAATCAGTTATCTTCATGTCAACAACACTTTGCAAAGCTAATCCTTGATGGAATTTGGCTGCTACCTGTTCTACATCAATGGGCTGAAATGGGTTTGAGACAAATGCAGCAATGTCTTCCATGACGTCTAACTCACCAAAATGCCGATTGAACTCTTTGTTTTGTCCAGGTGAACACAGTACTGCTCCGGGTGGAACGCATCCTTGTCTTTGATGGTTTGTGACATTTTTTCCAGGTTGGGAAAATGTGTTAGTCTCCTGCTGTTCAGATCGAGCTCATCCAATAACGCCTTGAATAATAAACGATGTTGGAGAGCTTTTGCTCGAATCGAGTTAATTAGTTTGACCACCAGTGTCATGACATGAAAGAAGTCCAAGACTTTCCTAACCAAGGCCTGCTGATGAATTACACAGTGATAATTCACAAAGTCTGGAAAAGCAGGATCACTGCGGCACAGTGCTATAAAACCAGAGCATTGCTGGTGCCCCATAAGTAGTGATTGCCACCAGTTTATGAATGGGAATGCAATTTTCATCGGCGTATTTTTTAAATTCGTAAAACCTCAACATTTGACGTAAGTAAAGTACTTGAGTAAAATAACCCCTGAGTGGGGTCACTAAGACAAAACTAGAAATATCTTGGAGCTTTTTTTCTGATCCACATTTTGGAGACTGAAATTACAGTTATTTGAGAATCTGTAGAGCTGACTGGAATTTGCACCTGTACTGTGACAATATCAGAGCAGAAGAGTCTCCAGATGACACAGAGTCCACTTAAAATATGAAATAAAGTCATAAAAATGTATTTTGTTTTAAATAAAATCAGCTTTATTGGTAAGTTGGTTCTCATACAAAGAATTTGCTTTGGTGTATTGGTGCTTAACAGTAAACATAGTAAATAAAAAATTTAAGACAGATAAAGACAGAGGAAATACTGCAGATCAAGAATCATAAATATAAAATTGATAATAATATCAATTCATATATAAAGATTTGTATTTTTAATTAATAGAGTAATATAATTGTAAAATTTGCGACAAAACCTTGCTCTAACATTAATATAATGTTAGAGCATTCAATCAGGTTTGGTTAAAAAATCTATTAATTTTTTTGAAAATGTACCCAGTAAATTAAAGCCATGAAAAAGGTAGTATCCCCTCTGTTGTGTGTACATGTGTATGTTTGTTTGTGTGTCTATTGCTGCGTTTGTGTCCCACAAAGCCCCACTAACTGCCAACTTCAGATGTAAGAGAGCAGTAAACCCTAAATCAGGCTTCAAAAAAACGGAGGGTAAAGATGAGGACTCCAAGCAGCAGACTCATACAGCCGGCGTCACTGGCAGTTGTTGTAACAGCATTACACAAACTGGTCTCACAGCAGGATGGTGTACTGATGTTACCAACACCTTGCAAGAGAAGTAGGCTACTCAGGCTGTCACCAAGTGCACACAGGTTTGCAGATGCACAGCCGGAGACTGGAGAAGTATTGTCTCCAATCGTCACTGAAGATAAAAAAACACTGTTTACTATAGATACTATAGAAATATTTTTTTGTTAATTAAGTAACTTCAGGAAGTATTCAGATCCTTCACTTAAGTTAAAGTAACAATGTTACAATGTACAAATACACTATTTCATGGTTTTGGTCCTGTTTCCCTTCCAAGTACTTCAATACTGATTATCTGCCATCAAATCTGATCAGATACTTATATCCACCTAAATGTTGATTAAGTAGATTTCTGACTCAGTTGAAATTGCACCTGTAGCTACAAAACCTGACACGTCTTATTTTTCAAGAGGTTCTTTATCCAAATACAAGAGTTCCTAATTAAATGTATAGTAAAGTATAAAAGCTTGAATTATTAATATGATGTGGATGAACATTTAACTAGTAGATATAACCTGATGTGGTGCAATCAGCTAGAAGAGCATTTATCATTTGGATAACATTTGGATTTGTTGTAACTACAGAAAAACTCAGTCCACTTGCAGTTGTACGAGCCCGTTCTCATCTCAGGGCGTCATGTACCGACGATTTGAGAAAGAGGCTACCTTTGGCATCAAATGAGACGCTGTCGGAAGCGTCTCTATGAGACGCTCTGGGGGCATCCCGTACAGACCAGAAGTGCTAGCTACGTTCGTGATAAAGGTGTTGACAGCCCCCCGAAGCCCCTACCCTTACCACAACCATCAGAAATGTTAGTACCTAAACCTAAGTCACTGAATGTATGCATGTCGACCGGCTAACCCTGCAGCTGCGCACATTGGCTGTGAGATACAGGTAACAGGTAGGGTTTGCCTCCCTTGTGTTGCTGCAATGTAGGAAACGGGGGAAACGGGGGAAACGGGGGCGATTCATATGGACGCTGAAGAGTACTTTTAGCGTAAAAACCTTACGCTTTGTCACGCTGTCTGAAAGCATCAGTTATGACGCATTGAGATAAGAACGTGTTGGTCATACAGAGTGGAGCTTCATAAACCTCATAAACAATCTTTGGCTGAGGACATATGCTGGCTTGCAGAGTACTTCAGTCTCAGTTCAGTTTAGTTTAGGTTAATGACAAAACATTAAAATACAAGCACATTCATAAGAAATCGTGCAGATTTGTGAAAAGGGTCACCCTAGTACGCTGTCTGAAGTTTATATATGGGCCCAAATACTAAGATAGTAGACATGTATTTGAAGTACTAGTATATTGTGTAGATAAATACTACAAATAAATAAAATACACACAATACAGTATCTACAGTAGTAGTACAGAAAATCATAAGAGCTAAACTACCCTAATCCTAACTACCCAGTGGTACCAAGAAATTAAATACAGTACATCAGTCTTCAATTAAAAGGAAAATACAATTGAGAAAATGGAAATAACTGTACAATTTAAACCATTTCAGAATGGAAAGACTAATTTAAAAACTAGTTTAGAAATCAGCAGCCGTTATAGTTACAAAGTCTGTACTACATTATACATTGTACAGGCATTGTAAAAGATATTATATTAGATGGTAGATTGTGTAATTTGTTTTGTTTATATTTAAAGATAACTTATTGCATTGAAGTCATCCACCACAGTCATTTCCTCATTCAGATTATTTTGCTTTTTTGTTACTAATACTAGAATAATTCAAAAAATCATTAATATACTGTATAAAGAGCAGTGGTCCTAATGGATCCCTGGGGCAGCCCGCAATTATGGTTTTACTTTGAGATTTATGACCATTCACATGTACATATTGCTCCCTCCCATTTATATAGCTTCTGAACCAAAGAGCGGTTAAAGTCTTTAACTGATCCCACAAATTTTCTTTGCATTTGGAGTGAAATGCTCGAAGTGTAGAGCCAAGCTGTGGTACAGGAGCGCAGCACTGCAACAACAGAGCAGGCTGAAGCGCCAAAACACAGAAGTGTTCAGTAAAGAAAGGATGGGATTTTGATCTGCGTTACTTTAGTCGATTCATTCAAATTTACACAGTTAAGCACTTACGAGACATTTAGCTCACGGGAGGAGACACAGTTTCATGAGAGTGAGACGAGATTTTAACGCTATTTTTAGGAAATCACCAATGCTGAATTATATAAAAATTCACAAAAAACACTTCATTTCCGGTGTTCTGGTGAATTTTTCAGAGAAGAAACAAAATTTAGGTGGCAGGTGACAATTCAAAATTTAAAACCATGACAGAATATAATGCAGTGCAGCTCTCGGGCATTCTGTATTTCTTGCAGATCTGGTTTCTCCTGTAGATCAACTTTTCTCATGTAATATCATCCCTGCTGAATCAACACACATGTAGGCATGATTTAGTCTTCCCTCTTTTTTGTGTCTTTTCTTTGGAGAAGTAACCTCTTTAAATGTGCATGTGGCACCTTTTCACCTCAGTGATAAATTATTTCATTTTATGTGCTCATGCTCACAATATTCTGCACATTCAAAATCTCTCCCACATATCTGTGACATGTCGAGAAAAAGGTGTAATATTTCAAGACTAACACCATCACTTAATGAGAATTCATAATATTTTTAAAACTCTACCTGCCCTACACATTACACATTCTTGCTCTGCTCATATGGTAGTTTCCTCTTCAGACCGAACCATCTGCACTGTAAGCCCGAACAGTACTACTAGCTTATAAAGACTGAGGTCGCTACAGTTAAAATCTCTTGCTGAGTTAATCCACCTTTAAACTATTAATGTCTATAAACAAATATGTGTTTTTGTATTTACATGGCTCAGCATTTCTGAGTGAACACCGCTGGTTCACTCAATATTTTTAAGTGTACTGTCGATCACGTGATATGACGTCATGACGTGCCATCCTAACTGACGTTACCTGAAAAATCTATCCAAGATGGCTACCCTCTCGAGCAATGTGGTGTCTATGCGTGGTATCAAGCATTAAACTTTAAGGTAAGCCAAAACACTTCGAAACTACTTTGCTTGTTGTAACATTGGGAATATCATATTTCACGTGATATTTGACTGTTAGACGATGCTATTTTTAATATAGCCTATAAGTTGCTAGCGCGCAGCCTCACGGTGCCGCGCACGTTTTTTATGCGCCGAAAGCGCCAGCGCCATTACGTTACCGTCAGTCCGCCTGCTAGTGAGTGTTAATATCATGTGTACTGTTAATGTCGCGGCTAGACAATTATGTTAATGTTAGTCAATAACTCTTTTCAGCAAGCGATAGTCCTTCCGTTTTTGAGTGTGTTGCTACTGTTTGTGTTAAGCGCCCTGCTTTGGTAAGTTGAATGTGATGTTATTTCTAGCTAACCTACACGGCACGAACCGGAAAGATATCAGAGGCGCTGCGTGACATCTTTAAGATTTATGATCTCCAGGTGAGTTAATGAACTTTGAGCTTCAGGTCCCACTGGACAGCAGGGCCTCAGGGTGTCATTGTCTGTCCAACACTTTGCCAAATGCCATGAAATTTGGTCAGAACATCCACACTGAAAGAAGAATGAAATCTGTACTTTTCATTTTTGCTTGTTCTTCCAGGAAGTGCAGGATGTCAATATGAAGCGTACTGTAGCCCTTCGTGCCCTCCCGGTATACATGCGTGAGGAGGACCCACAGTTCTTCAAGACTTGTAATGTAAGTATTCTATTCAGAGAACTATTAGTATCTCTAGCAGCCACTTAACTATATCTTGTTACCCCTTAGTAAACCTTGTGTGTAGGTGTCATTGTAATGGTAAATGGACTGTACTTAGTGTGTACATGGATATACAGTATGTGCATATAAGCATACAAATAAATGTAAAAGATCTAACCTCAGGTAATCCCAAACCTTAATCTCTCACAAAGCCCTGGCCTAACTTTACCCAGACCTGGAGAAGATCATTTGATCATTTGATTGACCTTTTGGCTTAACCTCATGAAATAACACACCCCCTCACTCTCTCTCTGTAAAAATTACTTAAAAATACCTTTTATGAGATGCTGTACATTACATATCACAATACAGCACCCGCTACTATGTAATACCTAATTCCATATTAATAGCCTGTTTAATGCTCAGCTGCAAAATACCTACCTGGGTACACTTACATATTAAATAACAACCTGTATGATATTAAAATGTAAAATACCTGCTGCTACACTTACCACTTTTATGATGGGCTGTAGAATAGACAGTGGGTGAAAATTATGTATTAGGGTGTTATATAATTATTTATATAAGGCATTATATTGAATGGGTTTCCTAATATTTTGTCCACTGCTTTAACATACAAGAAAGGGGCAAAATATTAGGAACACCATTCGATATAATTCACCCCACTATGCCACCACCATGTATTACAACCTCAGTAATAAATATGAAGTAGAATTATCACCTTTCTGACAATGTCAACAAAAACTGAAAATGTATAAAATTCATAAACGTAGAATTTAAAGGAGAGCTGTTGTATTGGACTGCATTGGGTTACACACATGCACCTGATGAAGTGGCCAGTGAGTGTACATGCAGTTGTTGTGTTTCTTCAAGTTAACCTAACAGTTGTATCCTCTGTGTCTTTCAGGTGGAGGAGTCAGATGAGCCATGCATCGACACTCCTGTTGCTCTTGTCACAGTCACAGAGGACACTGCAGATCCAGTTCATTTCAGTCCTGCAAGTATTTCTATTGTTGTGGAAGACGATGTTGTGATGAGTGATATCCCTAACTTGGCTGATGCATTTGCATTGTTGTTTGGGTTAATGTATGCATTGCATTTGAACTATCCCAAGAAACTCATTCACACTTTCACATTCATCCAGAAAATCCTAATGGGTCTTGATGATGGTAAACCACTTAAACCCTGCCTACTGAGTCTCAAAAATGACCTGTTAATGAAAGAGTAGGCTAACTTAAGAGTAGTGTTTACACATGTATTTTCTTGTCTGCATGTTGATGTGTTTTGGGGGTTCCCAGTATGGTAACTTTATAGTATGTTGTTGAACACAATGTTACTCAAAGCATTTGAAACTGTTTACATATGGCAGATTATGTCTTGCCCACCAAATCTTTTAATTTACTTTTTTTTGTATATTTTTTTATTCCATTTTCACTTTGATTGCTGTTACTAATGCTGTTTTAATAAGCATTTATTTTCATACTTTTTATATTAAGCACTTTGCTTAGTTCCTGATGATCTTGTTCCTGTTTAATATGTAGAGATACATATGTACACAACACACACACACACACACACACACAGAGACACACACACACACACAGAGACACACACACACACACACAGAGACACACACACACACACACACAGAGAGACACACACACACACACACACACAGAGACACACACACACACACACACACAGAGACACACACACACACACACAGAGAGACACACACACACACACACACACACACAGAGACACACACAGAGACAAATGCACAACCATACACTAAAACATACATATTTGCTGTGTCCATGTAGGTTTGTAACTAAATATTTTAAGAAATTTCACTGCTTAACAGGCTTACAGCTTTTGGGTAGGTGGTGAAACTGTGACTTGAGTCACATGGTTAGACACCTGAGCTAGAACAGAGTTTTAACTGTTGACTGCTGTTGATGTTCTGACATGTTTGTATAAAAATTAAGACTGAATAAAAGAAAAAAGAAAATGTACAGCTGAAGTAATTTTTTTTTTTGTAGTTTTAACTTGTAAATTTCATTAGCTTCTGGGTTATACACAAGCATATTTTTTTAGTACCATTGGATCAAAATAATGAAGTATGGAGAAACAAAAAATGTGCGAGTGTTAAACAATATTTTTAAGCATAGTGCACTTAAAAAAATTAAGTTACTTACCTTTAAATGTTTAAGTTTGATTAGATTGTAACTTTTAAAAAAATCTTACTCAAACATTTAAAGGTAAGTAACTTAATATTTTTCAGTTAGATTTTTTTAAAAGTTACAATCTAATCAAACTTAAACATTTAAAGGTAAGTAACTTAATTTTTTTAAGTTTGATTAGATTGTAACTTTTAAAAAAATCTAACTTAAAAATATTAAGTTACTTACCTCAAAAGTTATTATGTAATCAGTTTCTACAAAAGTTTTGAGTACTATGAACTTATTGGGGTTTACAGTGTGGACTCACAGGCAGAGCAGGTTTACTTGATTACTATCACAGCATACGCCAGTGTCGCATCAGCTGGGAAGAGTTGGTTCTCTCAGCGAGTCGACTTTATCAGTTATACATAGATTTGTTTTTCACTGCGTGAGAAAATTGATGTGTGACATGACAACATGTGAAAAATGTCAATTACGTGAGTCTCACCAGACAGCTTCTAATTACTGCTGGTCAGGATGGAACTTATATTAGTGCTACTTTACCTACTGCGGGCTTGTTGGATCTATAACCTTCTTGTAAAATAATCTGTCATAAAATCTTAAGTGCAGTGAAAGTACAATAATTACCTCTGAAATGTAATTAATTAGATATATAACATAACATATAATGTAAGTAAAAGTACAAATATCTCACCATTACTTTCAACCACTGGTTGATTTTCCACAACTCAAAATTATCTCACAATCCATGTGGAGACAAACTATGTTCAATTATTTATCAGAAAGACTCACCATTCACTTTAAAGCAGCGGTCCTCCACTCCCTTACATTGTAATTGAGATGAGTTGCAGTGAGAAATGAGAGGGTCACAAGTGAAACACTTTAGGCTGTTTGGCTGAGGAACAGGCTCTGAAACAGAAAAGAACGACAGAATTTATTTGAGGAAGAGAAAACATTTGTGTCACAAAGTAGGACGTGTCAGTAGATGGCAGGAGGACAGTGTCTTTGTTCTGTTTTTTATCTGTTTGTATATTTTCTTAAATTAAATGAGCTACTTATCAATTTGGACTTACTAGGTAGAGTTTCTGTGTTGCAGTTATCTGTGTTGCAGCACTGAAGAGATGCAACTGTCTGCGCAACACCCGCGTTATATGAAAATGTCTGAGGGCCTGTAGCTGGACACACGGAGGATGGTGCACACGTCTTGACGATTTGTGAGACTGTAACTCCAACTGAAGTGTCTACAAAATCAAAGTCCAGTTGGTTAATGTTCAGTTAAAGTCAGAACACATAACTGGCATTAAATGTATTTCACTGAAAAGTAAGAGATCACATGAAGAAAACATTACCTTGAAAGGTAGCTGTCACACACATGGTCTCTGAAGAACATGGTAATGATGGTGGGTTTGTACACTGATCATTTTGGCAACTTTGACACTGAAGTGCTCCAGCTGCAATGGGGAGAAAAATTGTCAACTCAGTGATCACATCACAAGTCAAATGTCAAATCAAACGTCTGATGAGTTTAGGGTTACAGGTTTTGATGATCTATAAAGGTTGAAATGTCTTTTTCTTCTTCAGCCATTGTGTCATTTAAAAAGACACAATGGCTGTTACAAACAGTAGTTACTTCCAGTCTCTTTTCAGTAGGATCAATAAAGTCTTAGACAATTTTAATAAATTTGTTTCTGTTTGAAAAAACTTTTCTGGCAAACTGAAAAATGTCTTCAAACCTTTAAACTATTCTCCCTGCAGAAACTCTAATGTGATAATAAAAGCAGATACCTGTCCTGGAGAGCGCCCAGATGAGAGTCAGAGAAAGGATCATCATGATGATAAAGTAAGTACTGTGGAATAGTTTTCCGGGATGATGATACTGAACCTTATATACACTGTACATGTGTTGAATACATGCATCACTCAGGGATTGGGTGATCCTGTTTTGACAGTGTAACCAGACCTCCTCTTTTGTCATTGTGTCAACACATTTTCCTACCCTCTTTTTAATTAACGTGTACTAGTGCAGGATTGGGCACCAAATCAAAAATATTAAATATTCTTTTATATTTTATTTCTACAGTAACCTACTTTCTGAAAATATTGTTATAATATAGTTGTTTCGTACTGTTGAAAGGTGCTATACAAATACAGTTGCCTTGCCCTCACATGCACTACAACAATACCTAGCTAAAAAGATATTTTTATTTGTAGCTGGTCAAGATGGAACAACAATCCATATATGTATATATATATATACCATTCACATTTTAATGCATCAGTAATTAGAATCATTCTGAAATATTAAGTATGTACTACAAAGTAATAGGTGCATTAAGAGGTGATTGGGCTACAAGAGGAACACTGTAAGCTTTATCCAGGATACAAAATTGAAATTGAGCATGTCAGAAGATGGCAGAATGCCAAAGTTGTCATCAAAACAAAAAGTGCAGTTTGTTGATGTTGTTGAAAAGCGCACATAACTTAGCAGAATTTCACTGAAAAGTACTGGATGACATGAAGAAATTATTACTTAGAATGGAAGCTGACATCTTAATGCAACTAATGCAAATGATTTAACAATATTTTGTTAATATCCTAATAATATAATGTACGTTTTAGAAATGTAAGTCTATGAAAGAGTTTCATACTTTAATGCTTGGTACTGAAGCCCATTTAGACGATGATATATTTACTTGCGGTAGAATGCAGAACTGTATTTACCTTGGCAAAGTTGAATAAAAAGAGTTCATTACATAGAACTGACACAGTGTCACCATTCTTTCCTCCTTTGATAGGTAAATCTTGTGCATGCAAAAGACCCCGAAAAACATGCAAATGCCAACAAGCGCTCGATATGATGTAACATCTCAATCCATCGAGCTAGAGCTGGAGGTTGTTCAGGATGTTTCACACTGCTTTTGTGATAATGAAGGAAAATTTAATATTTTTTGATGTCTGATGTCATCTCTGTGATTTATAAAGTTTCCTGATGGACAGATAGCTTTACTAGTTGCTAATGCTACATTAAACACTAGTTGTTGCTAAGGGTTGCTGCTGTTATCAGCTGGCTCTGAAGCAGAAGTCCAAATCTTCTGTACAAATGTTAGAGGTGTAAACACCAACACCCCTCCGGAGCACCAATCTTTCAGTCCGGGGCGAAATCAGCAATAGAATAAAGTAATAAAGTTGTGTTTTTGTACAGTAATCTGTAGTCTCACATAGCAGGCCTTAATTCAGCTGGTGCAGCTAAGCCCCGCCCTTCTGCTGTGCTCGGGAAGTTGGCCAATCAGTGTAAGTGGGCTTTCAGGGAGGGCGGCCTTAAAGAGACAAGAGCTAAAACTGGGTGATGAAGCAGTAGACAGTATTTACATTAGAGCATGTAAAAAAATTTCTAGCAGAAATCCCTAATCCAAATATGATTCTAAAAATGAGTATTCTACAGCATTTTTCATTAAATCTTTTTGTACGTTCTTTGTGTGAGCTGAAAAAAACATACTGTGTTTCTACATAGCCCCACTGCTAACTCATAACATAACATGACTTGCTTTGAGGTTGTTTGCTCTATATCAGTGGTCAGCAAATAAGTCTGGCCAAATTTTTTTCAAGCCTTGACATGGTGGACCAGTCAAAGTCAAATTATTTCAAATCTTTGACAACCCACTTGCGTGCATGTTTAGAAGGTTGTAAGATCGATTCTGACTAATTGTGGGTATTTTTTTCTCACTTGTTAAACAAATTGATCATAAGGACACTTTTGCACATGCTGACAATAAAGCATGTGCTGCAGTGTGTGTGCGTCCCGGCGTTTGATATTAACTCATAAACCTACGGCCTAAATCTGCTCTATATGAAAAATGCAATAAGAATGTCATTTGGCGCTACATAAAGAAAATTGAATTGAATTAAAAACTGAGGCACATGCTCTGTTTGGCACTATGAACTACACATTATCATGTGTTCTAAAAATGTAATCGTTTGTTTACAATTACATACATATTACAAATGTTGGACAATGTCTCTGGTGTAAATATTTTCCTCCACCAAATCTTACAGCCTTTGCTCTACTCTAATCTGCTGTCCTATCAAACTACCGAAATAGCTTTAGCCAGCCTACAGAAACAAATAAACACAAGTCAGCTGACACAATATGTCAATAACCGCAGAACAAATAGAAAATTAAGAAAATCACAGCTTTATGCCTACACAATATGAATGAATGGATGACGGCATCTGATCACAATCCACGTGGCAATTGACCCTTCGCTAAGCTACGCCACAAATATCCAAGCTGGCCAATCGCAGCGCAGTATGGGACTCGCTCTAACGGAAGTCCGACACTTTCATGGCTGCGCCCCATTGACTCGTGTGCAAAAGGAGTCGTTTTATAGCTTTTATTACTGACTTTGACAAGATATGGTCAAACGCTGTTCCCCTCCTGCTAGAAAGCCAATCGTCTGCTTTTAACAGCCAAAGCTGGAACCATATTTCAGCCAATCGCGTAAGGGTCCGTTTTACCTTTACTATGCATGCGCGGAAGTGATGACACATGCATAGTACAAGTAAAACCGGTTGGGAAAAACGCTTTTTAAACCTCATTTTGGGGCAAAGTTGTCAAACTCTTTTATCAGCTTTTAATGCTGATTCTATTCATGTAGTTTTTATGTCCCAGTGACCAGTAAAAGTGCAGTTCTGGCTCTCTCCCCATTCATTTAGATAGGAGCCTGGTCTTGTTAGTCCTATATAGCTGCAAGGAAACGTTGCCAAGATGGCGGCCGAGTGGCAGGACTTGCCTAAAAGGACTTTGATGTAATGTAACTAATAGTAACGTAGCTCTGGGTCTTGTGTAGACCTACATGCATTGTAAATAGCCGCTGGAACATCGGATATCTTTTTTTTTCTCTGCAAACTGAAACTAAAAGTAAAGTTTTGACTGTGTAACAAACGTGTTGTTTTAAGGCTGCAGCATCTTTAAACAGAAAGGAGGAAAGGTGTGTGGAAAGGTAGCAGGGTGTGGTGTACATCCTGGAGCTATAGGGTTTTTCCCATACAGGGGAAAAATGTAACCAGTGGGCATCGCAGACACTAATCGTGTGGCCTGGCTCTGAAAGATGTTTCCTCTCCAGCGGATGGAGGGCAAAATGGAAGTGGGCACCACCTTCAGCAGCTCAACCTATATTTTTAAAGGTAGAGTCAGTCTGTGGCTGCTGGAGGCTGGGAGAGAATACAGAGAGGGCTTGTTGACTGAAGCCCAAGGCAAAAAAACTGCTATTGTTATCAGACTTGGCAAACAGAACCACAGATGATGTTTTACAGTGTTTCCTCTCAGACTGCAAAACTCATTTATGTGTAAAATTAGTGGAAATCAACTTTTTTCCCCACTTTGGTGCTTCACATCTCTATAAACTTAACTACTTTACACTTGTCACCTGTAATAAAAATATGATGCAAACAATGTTCAATCCCATGATAATCAGCTAAAGGGTGTGGTTCATATCAGCTGTGAGTTTGTTTGGTCCATGACCGCCTGATAAGGATGCAGATTCGGTCATGTGTAATGCTACAGTGGCAGTTTGTCAGTGAACTGTGTGTGAACACTGAGAGTACACAATGCATTTGAATGCACAAACATCCCTCTAACATATATAATCTTCTTCTTCTTTTTCTTCTCTTCTTTTTTATATGAAGATTTGCACTTTTTCAAAGAATATGGTTTGTTTTGTATTCTATATTTTTGTTATTGTCAACAAATTCCACAGAAAGACTAAAACCAACAATGTGTTAGTTGTCTCTGATTCTTTCTGACTCCTCGGTCCTGTCGGTGACACTGAGCTCCTAGCCAAGCCTGGTTCCAGACCTTTGAGTCGCTGCCTACATCTATGATGATTTCAGTGATTCAAATACACAACAGAGCCAACCAGAGGTTTGCAGGCAGGAATAAGAAGGAGGATGTTATGTTCCAGTGCCAGCACCAGAAAACTGACAAAAGACCAGGGGCCAGGAAAATGGCAGCAATCATGAAAGAGATCAATGCAGCTAGACACACTGTTGTGAACTTACATGTGACTTGCTGCTGATTGGTTAGAACAAAATAATAAACCTTTCCAAACAGAAGTCGGGTAACATGAAAACACAATGTGGTGAAACAAAATGACAATTCAGTGTGATACTCTAAGCCTATTGGTTCCTAATGAAGAGGTAAAACTTAAAGACTATGGGGACTATTAGTTGCAGATGAATCCACATGTGGTGCTCTAAAGAGTATCTGGGGCAGCAGGACGGTGTATGTGGGACTGAGTCAGAATAAACTACAGTGTGTGTGTTCATAGTGATGAAGGAACATGTGACCCAGTGAAACAGCGAGGCTCACTGATGGTTTTAATAGTGTCAGAGGGAGAACAGCCATCAGATTGTGATGATACACACAATACTTGTTAGTAGATAAACACATTGTAGGTTTTAGTATTTTAAATAGGATTTGTTGACAAGAACAAAATATAGAATAAGGGCAGTTTTATCATCTGAGGCAATAAAACAACCCAGGAATACAACTGATGTTATTACTTTTAAGGCCTTTAAACTTTCTATTTCATTATTATTATTATTATTATTATTATTATTATTATCTCCTCTGAGAGAGTAAGATATTTTGTGTCCTAAATCTTGTTTCAAAATCAATTGACGCTAAGCAACCAAAGCCATCACAATAGCACCAAGTACGTTTTAGACAGCAGCTATAGATAAGAAACAAGCTAACAAGGCAGATAAGATTGAGAAGATGGAAGAAAGTACAAGTATTTTGGTGAATGAACACATACCGCTGCCCAGCCCTGACCCCAAGAAAATCAAGATATAAAAATAATAATAAAAAATATGAAAAGACATGATAAAGAAATCAACAAAGAACACTCATACGAAGCTGTCCAAGCAATACTCGGCAGATTTGACGAACAAGAAAGCACCTCAAAAGCTTTGAACTCCGAACAGATAGATGGTGGATAAACTCAGAGTGGTTGACACGGTTAATCTCCTGGGATGGAAAAATGATGCACCAAATAACAAAATGCAGAAGCCCATCATCATGCAGGTTGTAGAACGGACGGCCAGGAATGATATCTGGAAATCCAAAGATGCAAGAGTTTGCAAAGAACTGAATATCCATTTCAGGGAAGACTGTGCAAAGTTGTGTCCAAAAGTTCAAGAAGCAAGACGCAATGGTAAAAGCCTTCCTGAGAGAGGGGCATGCAATGATTGATGGACAGCGATTTGAGCCCTGGCAAATTAGATTTTTCTACAGGAGACTCATTCAGGAATAGCAGATGAAAGATTTTGGAAACAACAACGGGAAGATGACATTTTTTCTCTCATGGAACTTCTCACTCAGCAGGAGTAATGGTGCTGATAAATATAGTTCTAGGGAAGGCAACTGAAAATAAAAGTGACACAGATGGACATGGGCTCATGGAGGTAGTAGAGAGATATGATCAAGCTTTAAATATAATTTCTATCTTCTCCAGGGCATCAGGCTTAAATATAAATCCAAACAAATGTGAAACACTGTACCATTGCACAGATACACATGTTATCCATTCCCATTGAACACCATCAGCTCTGCGCAGCGCCGCATGAAGTCAAAAGTACCTATTTTCCCACAATCTCACGCCACATGGCTCCACCTTGTGGAACAACAGAACAATCACAATTAATAGGAGTTTTCTCTGCCCTAAGGTTTTTCCACATAGGCACGTGGAGAGGCAGGGAGTCACAGAACAGAACCACACCGTCAAACGTATTGCAAGCAAATAAAGTATTTGATGAAGTTGTCCTGACTGAAATAACACAAGCTTTGTATTTCACTCTGTGTACGATGTGTACAGCATGGATGCCTCTTTTCCAACCGCTGTTTTTGAAAAGGCTTCTTTGGAAAGAATATACAAATCGCTTTCACACTAGTCCAGATTTTCTACCTGGTTGTGCAGTAAAGACATCAGGATACTCTTGAGACTTGTCTATACTTGTGACTATATTTCCTCAGTACTGGCAAAACTCATTACCTGCAGTTAAATTAGGCTAACTAAACAATGACTAACTAAGCAGACACACTACAAACAGACCCACAATGCAACTCTCTTTGTAGGAGCTGATATAGGCTACAGCGCAAAAAAAATGGGTGGACCTAGATATAGAGATAAGAAGAGACACTGAGGAAATTGGACTTGGAAATCCAGAAACAACAAAAAGAGAAGTGATCATTTCATTGCACGCTGTAAGCATGACTGTAACACAATGTATTAATCGCTGTTATTTTTATCTCTCCCAAGCTCCCAGCAGAAAAATGATCCAAGCTAAAGAAAAGGTCAAACAACATTGTGGTGTCTCCTCCCTGTTTTTTCAGGAATGTACAGGATACAGTGAAAATGTATATATTTATGAAAGTGCTACCAATGCCAAATAAAATACATACAAATGGACGAGTAACACACAACCTTTTATTATTAAATACGGATATGTAAAAACAAACCACATAGGTTTCTGATCAGAGTTACTGCTGACTGAACAGATAAAGCACCACCATGTTAGCCTGGTCTGGAGCAGGATAGCTGAACAGAATTAATCTCCATAGTAACTTGTGCCACTGCTTTCATGAAACCGATTGACGGCTAAATTAAGCCAGAATAACTGGAAAATCCTGGCTTAATCCACTTTCTAGAGGTCAGCATAATAAATACAAACATAAACAGACTAAGACAACTAGCATTCACCACAAAAGACTATAAACAAAATCCAGTTACGATGCAAAAACAGTTGTGATTTTCTTTGAAATGAACAGAAAAATATTTATTTAATAATTGTTGTAATAGCATTTATGGATTTTACTAGTTTAGGCAACCTGAGTGGTGAGATAAGCACTCACAAAGACATAAATCATTTGAATGAATAATTTTTTGTAAATGTCATCACCTTTTAAGCAGCAACAATTAATAGTTTAATAATAATGTATCAAATGATAATGTGAAAAGAAAGTGAATGGGGTCACTTGTAGTGATACACCTGTACCTGATGTTGTTACAAAAACTCAGTTGGTCAGCACAATAAATCTTGCCTCTTTAATAGACAGAGTTAGTTTTGCAGGTTAGCCAGAAACTCCTCTATCTCTCTACACATTCGATTTCTGTTTCTTTCTTTAATCCTCTCCAGAATTCTGATGCTGTTCTCGCGATTGTGTGATTTTACCGGTATCTCTGCTGCCTTCATGTGATATTCTATTGACTTGTGGATCTCCTTTCGATTGAAATGCACATGTTTTGCGTAGTAGTTGTAAAGCATCTGTTTCTCTGCAGGATCCAGATCACTTTCTAGCAGTTCATTGAATATCTGGTCAGCTTCATCTTGCTGATTGGACTTTGCATATATGTTTGCAAGATCTATTTTCATTTTCAGTGAAGAATGGGGGTAAAGAGAAATCACATCCGTACAGAGACTGATTGCTCTCTCGATCATGCTGCCTTCCAGGGGATTGTCCTGGAAGGAAAAGATCCTCCACTTGTAGCAGATTGCAGCACAACTCTTCAGATAACGTTCACCGGGATGTCTTTCCAGAACCTCTTCTGCCAAATCAATAGCCTCATGAGCAGATAAATAGATTCTGTACAGTCTTAGTAATGGTTTTATACCACTGTAGCTGCTGATGGGCTTTCTTAAAATCTTTCTGGCTAACTCACGTGCTTTATCTTCAATGTTTTCCCCTTTTCTAGCACATGCCTCAAGGTAAACAGCAGCAAGGTACAAGTTCTCTGGATCGTGTTCCTTGGCAATTTTCATTTTCTTTAAGATGTCAGCCTTCAGCTCTTTGTTGCTGTGATTAAAGTCACTGAATAACGCTAACACATGGCTGGTGTGCCACTCCACGATGTCTGGCTGCATCCTGATTGCTCTCTGGAAGTCATCTGCAGCCAGAAGCTTTTTGTCTGTGCCAAACTTCATCAGGGTCCAGGCTTTCTCAGCGTAGATCTCCGGATGGAGCTCGTCCTGGGATGGAGATGGATATTCATTCATCAGGGCGTCGACCTTTGTCAAGTAAGTCTGACACTCTGCTTGTTTTCCCAGGTGGTGGTGCAGCCAAGCCATGTTTCCAGAGTTCACCACTAACCAGGGACCCTCATCTGAGACGGTGTTTCTCATCTGGCGGAAGGCCTCTGCAGCCATGCTGAAGTAACGCAAGGCGTCATCGGTGAACCCCAGCTGGCAGTGGACGTACCCCTGCAGGTTGTAAATGTGACCCAGCCAGCTGTACCCCTCCTCGGTGCCGATGTCCTCCAGCTCATCTCTGAGTCTGAAAAGTTTGGCCCTGCTGGGGCCCAGATCCCAGGTGAAGTGGCACTGCAGGGCCTCCAGTTTGTCCTCCAGTGTTGACTGACTCTGAAGAGCACTAATGGAGGATTTAAAGGTCAAATATTAAATTACATGAGCAGTTAAATAATTTTCTCTGTGGTGTTCTGTGTTTGTACAATCACCATTCATCTCATGTGAATGACGAAAGGAAGGAAGGCAGGAAGGCAGGAAGGAAGGAAGGAAGGAAGGAAGGAAGGAAGGAAGGCAGGAAGGAAGGAAGGAAGGAAGGAAGGAAGGAAGGAAGGAAGGAAGGAAGGAAGGCAGGAAGGCAGGAAGAAAATAGTTGGAACAACTTTCAAAACTTACAGTGGTTTGAAAAAGTGTTTGCACTCTTTCTGATGTCTTATTTTTGTCACACTGAAATGTTTCAGATCAAACAAATTGAAATATAAGACAAAGATTACTGAAGTAAACACAATATGCAGTTTTTAAACGAAGTTTAAACCTAAATAGCCCTGTGTGAAAATAGCGCCCCCCCCTAAAACATTACTCATCTGTGATTTATCACATCTTTGGAAAGCTGTGGTTACTGCCACACCTATTATCAAGAAATCACTTCAATAGGACCTGCCTGACAAAGTGAAGTAGACCAAAAGATCTTCAAAAGCTAGACATCATGCTGCAATCCAAAGAAATTCAGGAACAAATGTGAAACAGAGTAATTGAGATTTATCAGTCTGGAAAAGGTTATAAAGTAATTTCTAAAGCTTTGGGACTCCAGCAAACCAAAGTGAGAGCCATTATCTACAAATGGCGAAGACATGTAACAGTGGTGAACCTTCCCAGGAGTGGCCGGCCGTCCAAAATTTCCCCAAGAGAGCAGCGAAGACGTCACAAACAAACCTCATCCAAAGAACTGCAGGCTTCACTTAAGGTCAGTGTTCATGACTCCACCATGAGAAAGAGACTGGGCAAAAATGGCCTGCATGCAGAGTTTGAAAACCACTGCTGAGCAAATATACAAATATAGGCTTGACTCAATTTTGCCAGAAAATATCTTGATGATCCCCAAGACTTTTGGGAAAGTTAAACTTTTTGGAAGGTGTGTGTCCCATTACATCTGGCGTAAAAGTAACCCAGCAGAGACTCTGCTGTGGTAAATGGAACCGTGAATTCTGCTCCAATCCAAAACACACCAGCAAGTCCACCTCTGAATGGCTTAAGAAATACAAAACGAGGAGTGGCCAAGTCAAAGTCCTGACCTGAATCCGACTGAGATGTTGTGGCATGTCCTTAAAAAAGCGGTAAAGGCTCAAACCCTCCAATGGGGCTGAATTACAACAATTCTGCAAAGATGAGTGGGCCAAAATTCCTCCACAGCGCTGTAAAAGACTCATTGGCAGTTATCACAAACGCTTGATTGCAGTTGTTGCTGCTAAGGGCGCCCCAACCAGGTTTTAGGTTTAGGGGGCAATTACTTTTTCACAAAGGGCCATTTAGGTTTGGATTTTTCCCCTTAATAATAAAAACCTTAATTTAAAAACTGCATTTTGTGTGTACTTGTGTTATCTTTGTCTAACATTTCAATTTGTTTGATCTGAAACATTTAAGTGTGACAAACATGCAAAAAAAATAAGTCATCAGAAAGAGGGCAAACACGTTTTCAAACCACTGTAAGTTTTGAAAGTTTTTCCAACTGTTTCCTTCCTTCCTTCTGCAGGAAATGCAGGAAATTAAGAACTAGAAGAAATAAGAAAAAGAACAATTGAGATAAGAAATGAACACAAAAGGAAGGAAGAAAGAGGCAAGTGAAGGCATCCAATTCATAATGTCTCATCTGTAACGTTGTTAATCTAGTAAAAATATGACAAACTGAAGCAGATACTGAGTATTGAAGCTTTGGCAATATTGTTCAATTGAAATTGATACTCACCTCATCATCCAGCTGTAACTTGTAGTTTTCTAAACACTCGTCTCTGGTTCCTGCACTTTATGTACGCTGCTGCTTTGGGTGCGGCTCCATAAAATCAGTAATGTTCAACCTCTACACAGTGTTGTAAATGTTGTAATGTCGAGCACTGGATTTGGACTCAGTGGACTTTCTTTTCATAGATATAGAAACCTACAGCCATATGTCTGTCATACTGGACGAGCACAACCAGTCATGACTCAACGGATCTGCGTGAAGCTCAGATGATCTTGTCTCCAGAGCTTTACAGAAATAGAACTGAAACCTTCTCACCTTCAAGTTTTGTCTTTCAGCAAAGTTGGGACACAGTCAGCAGGTGTCAATTAAGTCTCACGTTTTTGCTATAAAGTCCAGATCCAAGATCCAAGTCCTGCACTTTCCTTCCTGCTGGAGCAACATGATTGGCTGTGGTTCAAGGTATATCTGTAGATAGGAAGTAGAGGGAAAATGAAGAGTTAATTCACTGCAAACTTTGTATTTAGAACAAAATTTCAATCTTTGGGCAACACGATATTTCAGGTAATTCCAAACTCAAAGGCAAAAACTAAAAGGGCTAAGGTCCAGGTAAAGTTGTGAGTCACCCATATACACATATACAATTTTTATTTTATCAAGTCTAAAGTCTTTAGATTTATGACGTGCAGTCTGACTTCATTCCTCGTCATATGACCATAACATACTTCTGTCTTGTGTTGTAGCCTGTAAAAAACTTTTCTGTGTCAAAAGATGATACATTTACAGAGATCAGAGGACAGATGAGATGTGCTGGAAGGACGTAGACGTCAGAAATATGAAGAAGAAGAAAAAGCAACTTATTTAAAACCTCAAAAAGATAAAAGTACACTTTGATCTATATTCTACAAAACAAATCTTATTTAAGTATCTTACACTAACTAATATGAGTGGGAGGATATTAGTTGTTTATTTTAAATAATGTTTAGGGACCACCATTCTCATCTACACTCCAAACAATGACTGCCACAGTTGGTGGCCGTCATTGTTTGCCAACCGCCAATAAAAAGGGTCGCGAATATGTTCAGTTGTTGAGGTGCCAGCACATGAGGGAGTGAAAGGCAATGAGGGTTCAGACAAACTAGCCAAAGAGGCATTATGCCAAAAAATAACAGGTCCAAATCCACTAGGAAAAGGAGAAGGAAAAGTAGTAATCCAGAAGAAAGGTACTGAAATGATCAGTGACATTGTGGGTGTGGAGCTGGACTCTCTGTCGGCGGTGTCAGAGAGGAGGATGCTGTCCAAGCTATGTGTCATCTTGGACAACGTCTCCCACCCACTCCATGACGTGCTGGTCAAACACAGGAGAACTCTCAGTGCAAGACTCATCCCTCCAAAATGCACCACAGGAAGTCATTCCCGCCTGTGGCCATCAAACTCTTCAACTCTTCCCTCAAAGTGTCTCACACAGAGACACTTCAGTTCCTTAGTTATCAAACTGGACCTTGTAGTGCAATACTTCACATTCTGTGAAATAATCTCTGTTTTAATATTCAATGTGCAATGTTCTTTGCTGCAATTCTGCTTCTATTTATTCATGATGTAAACATTGTATACATCCATAATTTATATTTGTTTTTTTATTTATACTTTTTATATTTATTTATTTCTTTATTTAAGAACTTCTATTATTATGTCTATTCCTTTATGCCTTGATATGCAACGTGTGCAACTGTGATGCAAGATTTCTGTAGCAGTGGCAGTAAAAAGTACTTGTTTACTGTGTAACCATGTTCAGAATTATAGTTTTTCAACTCTGATAAGGTTTCTCTTGAGTAATAGTGAAACCTATTGTTTGAAGAGCATGCTGGGCTCACAGGATCAAATAAGAATAGGCCTAATTGATCGTCAAGCTGCTATCAGAAGCTAAAAGGGAACAAAAGAGAGTTGCAGAAGACTGTGACATTAATATTTAATGTTTTGTTAATGTGTTTAATAATATTTTGTGTTTATATTATATTTCATACTGAAAGTGATTGTGTTTGTAATTATTTTGTTTCAGTTTTTCACAGTGTTTGCTGGTCAAAAGAAGATTATTTGTGAAACGGAACAAATAAATACTGGTCAAGCATCAGTTGGAGCGTGGCTTATCTGTATCAGAATAGAAGCTTGGGAGCAGTTATAATTTCCTCTATTTCTGATTCTGATTCTCAAATATGGCAGAACGATGGCACACACTCTTGTACCGTAGGTGGCGGTATGCACCAAAAAGTTTGTTTGCAATCCGCCATTAATGAAGAGATGAAGAAATGTATGCATGAACATGTAGTGACTCTGTGTCAGCTCTTATAAGCATAAAGACATGCACAACTAGAAGTCACCTGGACTTGCTTTATGAAGTCTTATTTATGAAATCAAGAATAGCTAGGCAGGGGAAAAATGTCATATTCCTGTGGGTCCCTGCACACTTGGGAATTCAGCGAAATGAGAAAGCAGGTGGCAAAAGAAGCAGTTAAAAAAGGAGATGTTGAAGTCAACATTAAATTATCAAAATCAGAGGGGAAAGGCATAGTGTGGAGAAGTGTAAAGCAACAATGGCAACAGAGCTGGGATAACGCAATAAAAGGGAGACATTTACACGAAATCCAAAGCAAAGTAGGGGAGCAAAGAGGAAAGAGCAGGTGATAATAAGTAGGCTGAGAATTGGGCATAGCAATCATAACAGCACACTTTTAATTACAGGAAAACACCCTACAGCAATGTGTGAACAATGTCAGGAGGCTGATATTTTTATAACATGCAGGAAACTTACTCAGGAAAGACAAGAAATGATAACACAGTTTAAAAAAAAAATAGGACGGACAAATAATACAGTAAAAAGTTTATTGGATTATGGAGAAAGTGTTGAGGGTGTGGAGGTTTCTGAGGGCGACCGGATTAGATATAGGCGGATTTAGTAAGAATGGAAGCAAAGGGTAAATAAAACCTGAAGGTGGCAGTAATGCAACTCAATGGATGCCAGCTGCTGTAAAAACCCAAAGAAGAAGAAGAAGCTGCTGCTGCTGCTGGATGACGTCGTTTGCTCTGCGACAGAAACACCGTGTAGCATGTATGTAGCAGCAACCACAAGCGGCTTTGCTGGATTTACCTGCAGTCTGCGAGATTAAAACGATAATGCGAGGTTTACTGACGACTCTGTGAGTAGTAACGTTAAGGTGTCAGCAGAACAGAGACGGCTGCAGTGTGTCGGTGAGCTAGAAGTAACTAGCCGTCGTTAGCCTGACCGTGTGATGAGCTAACTGTATTTTCTGACCGGTGTCGTGATTTATTTGGCTTTTCTCAGATGACGATGTGAGAGCCAGCCGCGTCTCGGCGGTGTCGTGGAGAGCTGTGCATGTCCCGACTGCAGGAGGTGGAGGAGGGCAGCAGCTGTCGGTGTCCGGGATGGAGACCTGGACCCCCAATCCCCGAGCCAAGCCGTTCATCCCCCGCCAACAAAGGAGCTTGTACCTCACCTGGAAATACAAACTAACCAACAAGAGGGCGATTCGTCGGTTCTGCCAGGTACAGAAAACCAAACCAGGGTCTCTGAAGATGGAGCTCAACTCTGGTGTTGGTTTGTTTTGCTGCACAAACACAGGAAAAATTCAGGAGTATCAAATCGTTATTTCTTTCGAGTTTAAAGGCTGATTTTTTTGCTACTGAGTGAAAGTTATAAACAGTGGATCACTTCACAAATCTGAAGTAGAGCATTCAAAACAATTATGATATGTCAAATTAAGTCAAAGCTTTTTTTTCAGTCCTTTTTTCTCAACAAAATAGCAACAACAACTTAATTTAAAAAAATCCTAATTCACGGATGATTCAAGTGAATAACATCAAACATTTATTGAATATTTATTGAACATTTGATATATTGTTATTGGAAAAAAATCATATTGTTATAGTTTTTTGACACCACAACAAATGTGGTATCATCATGATTTTAATAGTTTTTTTTTCAGTGAAATTGAAAATTGTGACACAGAAGTGATTCGCCCTAATCATTTATGTCGTAAAATCTGTCAAAACAATCACTGTATGATTTAAATCGTGCAGCCCTGGATGATAGTTATACTTCTTTCCCATGTGGTTTTGGATGTATTAAACCATTTTAGCTCAACTGTCCAAAATGGAAACTCCACTTTTATATTAAATATTGCTTTATGTTCTCAAAGTAAAAGTTAAAAGAAACATTGCTGCTTCCAAACTCCGTTAATACTTTCTTTTTATCAGCTCCTATTCAGTCATGTTTTTGCCGAGGGTTTAATTATTGTAATCTGACTTCTTAAACAGCTACACATTAGTAATCTTATCTTGCCATACCATTGATACTTTGATAGTTGTTCTCTTTAACATCTCTTCTATTTGGCCATTTTTGATTTTGTTGATGAGCAAGATGTTTGTTGCGGTAAAGAGATGAATGCTTTCTCATTCTGTGATGGGAGAATACAGTTAGTAGAGTTAATTGATTGATCACAGAGAAGTATGTGCAGTTTCTAAAGTGAGTTATTGGAGCTCCGTACGGACTCTGCTGGTCGACTACCACCGTGTGCAACATTAACCCGCACGTCCTACTGAACCAAGGAGTAGAAATATTCAGGAAACACTGTATTTTGTTTCTCCTTCCACAGGCCGGTGCTGTGCTGTTTCTACTGATAACTGTCATAGTCAACATTAAACTCATCTTAGACACGAGAAGAGTAGCTAATGAAGATGCAGCAGCTCAAGAATACGGTGAGAAACATGTCCAGTGCTCATTCTGTTACACATTTTTAGACTAGCACAACTGCTGCTTGAGCATTAGGCTAAAATATGATTGTGACATTTTTATTGTGGTCACATTTGTTTGATTTAAGTGGTTTTTTGGTCAGACAGGCCAACTTTTTCTCAAAGTACAACCTCCTGAAATAGCTAAATATTTGCATGATGCCTTGACAACAGACATGGGTGGTCAGAAATGTATCGGGGTCTCTCTCTCTCTCTCTCTCTCTCTCTCTCTCACTCTCTCTCTCTCGATAACCTCTCATAGCTCAATATCTGGTCAGTCCATAAGGTTTCACTCCCAAGTTGACCCTTCAGAGTGACATTCTGTCTAGTTTCAGATTTCGGTTTTGGCACAATTGGCGTTTCAGTAGGACCAGCAGGGAAATTTACTGGCATATTAGCAGTAGGAAAGGTTTGACAATAAAATCGGCCTTTCTGTAACTCTTAAACGTTCCGTTGGCATCTTTGGAAACTTCAGGGTGTCCATTGAGGTTCAGTGAGCTTGAACGATGATTGGTCTCAGTATGCGAATGTAAAGATGGACCTGTGGGTGGGTCTGGCTGATTTAAAAGAGCTTTAACAAAGTATAAATCTCACATTATCCTGACTTCTCCATGTCTGTTGTTGAGGGCAAAACTTTGAGCATGATAACAGAGATGTGTGTTGCTTTGCAAATTGTTCACACATGTTTTTTTGTAATTATTTGAGACACGGTTGTGAAAATGTATCACATCTCAGCAGGCATTACTGTGGAGTCCCTAATCTTGGTCTTATGCTCGTATAGAGGATGCAATACCCAACATGGAGACACCACGCAGGCCGGCTAATGGACGCAAGGTCCTGGACATTGAGGTGTACTCCAGCCGCTCCAAGGTCTACGTGGCAGTGGACGGCACCACTGTGAGTTCAACTGACTGACTGGTGCCCAGTTAAAATCAGTGATTCTGGTTGGGTCTCTTTTTCTTCACTCATTTTTGGCTGTCATTTCAGTCAGTAACAAGTTAATTTCTGACATCTTGAAACATTGGGCTGCTCGGGGGTACGAACGGTCGTCCACTAATGAGAAGGTTGGTGGTTCGATTCCCCGGATTGTGTCTTTGGGCAAGAAACTGAACCTCAAATTGATCCCGATGGCATATGTGAATGGTTTTATTTCAGTTTCTTGTTGTCTCCCTAGCATCTGGTCATCAATGTGTGAATGGGATTTAGTGTAAAGTTTTTTTTGTGAGACGTCGGAAAGACTAGAAAGTACAGAGCATTTACCGGTGCTGAAAAGAAGTCTAATGAGGCAAGAGACACGAGCAGTCAGATGACCAGAGAGGCTTATTTGGAAGAGTCAATGAAGGCAAACCTTAAACCTAATCATATCAGTATGTCTTTTGTAAACATCTCAGTTCACAGACCGACCTCCTACTTCATCTTTGACATAGATAGATAGATGGATAGATAGATGGATAGATAGATCACATCTATCATAGAAGAAAGATCTAAAGAAAAGAAACATCTAACAAGTGTTGGGTACATCAAAACCTGATAGCAGGTACAATGTGTGTTCGTTTGAACTAAGATTTACTTTTGTCCTGTAGCTGTGTCCACAGTTTTCCTGAGCAGAGAGGGATTAGATTCTTCATTCTGAGATCTCTCTTTTCGTTTTACTAACAACTAAAGTGGATTACTGCTTGTTTTTAACATTCACTAATGTGTGCGTAGAGATGTTCTTACTTACCCAAAATTACCGTGTGGTTTAGTTAGCGTGTGTTTTACATTTTGCTCTGAGGCAGGTGACAGAAACGTGGACAGAACTATGAACTAAGTGACATAATCTTCTGTTATGTTAATGGGGTTTAGTTACGAGAGGAATTCAGATCAAATCCTTTAGATGGTGATTGGATCTCTCACCAGTGGGCGAGGCTTTGTGAATACGATGATGTGATATGGCGCTGGGTAGCTGCACACACCACCCTCACCTGTTTGACCACGAGGAGGAGGAGGAGGATATGGGTTAAATGAACAAATTAGACCTTAGAATCCAGCTAGTAAACCTGTGAAAACACACACCTTGCTTTGATAGCTACCCCAGTCAGGAGTGGTCGTATATGATGGGTGGAGTTAGGTAGTCACCCTAAATCACAGTTCATTGTTCATTTATGTATCCACCCCCATGTTTGAGCTAAAAAGAAGGCTAAACACTCACTAGAATTTTCTACGTACTAGAGATGAGATCTTCTCAGTTGGGATGTGATGGGGAAATAAAAGGATTCACTCCTTTTAAACATGTAAGTGCTGTATGTAGTCCTGCAGGTAAAATACGTATTTTTTTCTTCTCCTGCAGGTGCTGGAGGATGACATGCGGGAGCAGGGCAGAGGCATCCACGTGATAGTTCTCAACCAGGCAACGGTAAGCATTTAATGTTAACACATGACTTTTCTTTCATTTCAGTTTTGTGGCGCGATGGAAGAAAATTGAAAAAAAATACAGTCCAATGATAATAATAATTTTTAGTTTAATGGGGGTCAAATTAGAAAAGTCAGATAAATCAGTCACTGTCTGTTGTGTGTCTCAGGGTCATGTGATGGCCAAGAGGATTTTTGACACCTACTCTCCCCATGAGGACGAAGCCATGATCCTCTTCCTCAACATGGTGACCAGGGGTCGAGTTCTCATCTTCACCATAAAGGTCAATCACTGCCACTGTTTCAATGATGAGTTGGATAAGAGTGATTGCAGTTATATTAATGTGTCAATGAATGATTGGAAAAGCGTGTTTATGTCCTGCAGGACGAGGGTACGTTCCACCTGAAGGATGCTGCGAAGAACCTGCTGAAGAGTCTGGGCAGCCAGGTGTCCCTCAACCTCAGCTGGAGGGACATGTGGACTCTGGTGGTGAAGAAAGGAGGTAGAGGAGCAAACCTTCTCTTTCAAGTAGACGTAACTCCTGTTGAATGGCTTTGTGCTCAGCCATCGCTCACCCTACTGGTGATTTTATTGATACTGATGTTTTGAGATTTTCCTTCCACCCCAATCCAACGGATGTGAACAGCTTTCTCGATCCACAGCAGATTTAAAAGCAAACTGAAGATCATTTTGGTGATACAAAATCAATCAGCGTTTGTTTTAAGCGTCTGTTCAGTTTCATCCAAATTACATCTTCCAGAAAAGCATATCAACGGCAGGCTATTTAGCTGACAACATTTTTATGTAATTTTATTTGTGGTTCAAATGTCAATCTTACTCCAGTTGTCCTTCATTGTTTGAGTAAAGCTTAAGTAAAGCATATTTAATTTTATTACATAATTGCTTATTGCATTCAATGATTACTGGCCATTGACTTTGCCAGCAGTTTATTAAGGATATTGCAGAACATGGCAGGAAACACTAGTAAGATTATGCTGTCTAGAGAACATCAGCAGATACTGCAGTTCAATAAGCCAAGCACACATATCTTCTTGATATTGGTGATTACTTTACCTCATTTACGGAGGATAGAATTTAATTTAATTATTATCCATTGAAACATAAACATTTCCATTTGCTTCGAGCTAATTCACATCCGCAGTCCCTTGGCTGGTCATTGTTAAAAACAACACATTAATCAATGAGCTCAGGCTGAACAGTTCATTGAAATGCCACCAAGATCACAACATGGTCAAATAAGCATCCCAATCACATCGCAGTGTCCACCAAAGCACAGAGTAACACAAAAAATGAAACAAGATTTAAAATAAAAAGTACTCAACAATGGCACATCACAAAAGTTTGTCAACTAAAGGCAGGTCATAAAATATCTGAGTCAGTGATTATGAATTACAAATGATTGTTGCTGTGTTTAAAGTTGTAAAATCCTTCTCTTAGTGCATTTCTGGCCTCTGATTTGATGATTCAGTACCTCAAACTAAAATGACTGGATTAGCCGTGTTTCCGTCAACTTTTTTTCATGTGCATTTTGAAGTGTCTCATTAGAAAACGTTGACAGAAACGGCAAAATTAGAGGGGAAAAAAAACCCCTTAATTTCACAAAAAAGGTTTTACGCTCGCTTGAGGTGGTTTTTGCTTTTGTCAAAAAAGAGTAAATGGGCTAGATGGGAGATGGAAACACTTTTGCTGAATAAGTTCTAACGTAGCGAACTTGTAACTCATGACTGATCAGCTGTTTCTGCTTTCTTGCCCGCTCGAGTTCTGCGCACCTGCCCAGAATTTCCTGCACCTCGCTGCTGGTAATGCTCATTTTGTGCTAAGAAAAGAGGTCAGGTAGACAAAGAATATTGTAGCATTTAAAAGCATTGTTTGGAGGTGCATGCAGAACTCTGCATAACACCGGATATTCCCATGACGTGAGACATGGCTGGTTGCAACTTGCCCGCTTGAAACGCATTTCTGAGGACCTCTCTCCATTTTTCTAAGATCAATGGCCCTCAGGTTCATGCGACTAGTTTGGTTTCTGGTTTGGAACCAATACGTTTTGTTTATTACAGTCATGTGTAACGTCAACTACTGATGTAACCACGCTTGCAGTAGCCTGGTTTATTTGCTCCAAACAGCTGATGGAAACGAACATATTTAGTAATATCTATTTTGTTTTCCTTTTTTGCGACATTTCAAAAGTACGCTTTAAATTTGCAGGACAATTAGATGGAAACATGGCTATTGTCTGTATTGCTTTATGAGATCGTGTGTGTGTGTGTGTGTGTGTGTGTGTGTGTGTGTGTGTTTGGGGTTCCAGGTCAGTTGTACGGAGAAAAGCACTCAAAGTCTCCAGCTCTGTCCACCTGGGGAGACCCGGTGCTGCTGAAGACTGAGGTGCAGCTCACTGCCTCTGAAGGTAGGAAACAGAATCTCATATGCTCAGTTGTAAAATATGTCTAACTGATCATGTTGCGATGCCCCTTTATGGCCAAAATTCTGGGCTGCACCTTCCCACCTGCCTGTACTCACTCAGTAACGAACTGAATGTGATCGTCCATCCTGCAGAGGCAGAGTGTCACTGGGCAGACACCGAGCTGAACAGGAGGAGGAAGATCTTCTGCAGCAAAGTGGAAGGATACGGCAGCATCTGCAGCTGCAAAGACCCGGCGCCCATAGAGTTCAACCCTGACCCTGTAAGACTTGGTTTTTTTTGGACTGTTTGTTTTATTGAGCTGCAAATAATAGAGGACAGAAGTGCCTATAGTAAGTAGGGAGCTAAGCTACACTCATTTTACATTTTAGATTTTAGTCTTAATATGAAATTTTTAACATCATCATGTGACATTAAAACCATCTTGGTAAGGGCCTCGGTATGGTATTTTATAGCTACACAGTAAACATAGTTGAAAATCTAATAAAGGAATTTTTTTTTTTTTACTGGAAGAGAATTGGTGGTCGATGCTTTTGCACAGAGCAAGGTCTGTCCACCTCACTTACATTGGAAACTTATGCAAATGAATGACTATAGCCAGCTAGCTGAACTGTGTCCGCCTCAATATGATTGTTTTAGTCAAACGAGGGCTCCCAGTATGTTTTAGAATTGAGTTTAAAATTGTATTGATTACTTTTAAAGCTCTTCATGGCCTCTCGCCTTGTTATATTTCTGACCTTTTAGTCCCATACGCACCAGCACGTACCTTGAGATCCTCGGGCAGAGGTCTGTTGTCTGTTCCAGAGTCTCGACTGAAAACTAAAGGGGACAGAGCGTTTGCTGTCAGGGCCCCGAGGCTCTGGAACAGCCTGCCCGAGGAAATCAGGTCGGCTGAGTCAGTGAACTCTTTTAAGTCCCTTCTTAAAACATACTTTTATAGGAGAGCCTTTCCCGATCTTATTTGACTTTATTTTATCCCTTTTATTTTATTCTATTTTACTAATTTTATATTAATCTTAAACATGTATTTTAGTCTTTTCAATGTTTTCATGCTTTTATCTTGTATTGTTTTTGTATTATTGTCTTTTGGGTATTATTGTCTTTTACACTTGTTAAAGCACTTTGTAACTTGTTTTTGAAAAGTGCTCTACAAATAAAGATTATTATTATTATAATAAAAGGATCTCCTAGCAGCCAGTATGAACAGGAGGTATGAAATCTGGTGTTCATATGGACTAATGTGACTTATTTTAAGACCTACTTAAAAAATTCTAAACCTGATCTTTAAACAAACCAGATATAACCTGTGAAGTAGTGAGCTTTAGAGGTGCTGGTAAGTGGATTTTGTTGCTGTCTGGCAGGTCCAGGCTTATGCTAAGCTAAGCTGTCCGTCTGCTGGCGGCAGCTTCACATTTACTGTACCGGATCTTCTCATCGAAGTCTCTACCAGAAAGCAAAGAAGCGTATTTCCCAAAGTGATTAACTATTTTTTGAATGTAAAATTAATGATGTGTGATGTTTAAAAAACATAAACGCAATATGTGTGTGTGTGTGTGTGTGTGTGTGTGTGTGTGTGTGTATATAAAAAAAAAAAAAAGTTAATGATCTACTGTTCTAAAAAGTCAGTTTCAGCGTCATGGTTTGAAACACTGCTAGATCAGGTCGTCAAAATAAAACTCTACTGCTTAAAGACATCACAGAACTGATGGTGAGTTTGTTTTACTAACTATATTTTCTTTTTCCAGCTGCCAGTCAATAATGTCTTTAATGTCCCAGTGGCCGTCATAGCAGGGAACAGACCGAACTATCTGTACAGGTAAGATCTGCTGACTAATGGTATATTTGATCAAAGGGATTGTAAAGCTTTTTTCTTCTTTTTCTATGAAAGGAAGCAGAAATTTCAGTTTCTCCGTTCTCTTACCACCACACACAGTTGAAGTTACGCCTCTGATTTGTCTTTGTCATCTATAAAAATATTTGTACTTGTTTGTCTGCGTTTCACAGATAAACTGCATTTCAGAGTCTGAGTTTTTCCCTTTTATACAAATGAAGATAAATGTGCCGTACAGACAGTAAATATTCCTAAAAGTAAATTACTTGCTGCTTTACTTGACATTTTAAATTGATTGTACAGAAAATAACTTCAGTTTATTAACAGTGACTGCTGTAATGAGCTGTCATTCTGAAAGCAGGATGAAGAAAGATGACAACCCCTCCCTTAGAAATACATTTGGTATTAATATGAAGAGAAATTACAATCTAGCTGTCCACCTTTTTTTAAAATTGGAACAAATCACAGTTATACAGCGATACAGAAACAAAAAGGAAATTAGCCTCATTCGTCTCTTGTGCCTTAACTGAAATTACGGCCATTTGTCGTCTTGTTTTTCAGGATGCTAAGGTCACTTCTTTCAGCTCATGGCGTCAACCCGCAGATGATCACGGTCTTCATTGATGGATATTATGAGGTACCACAGATTTAGTTTTTTCATTTTTTTTTCTCCACTTCATATCTGGTTTTGGTCAGTACTTCACTTAGACTAACATTATGGGCCTGTGGGTGTAAATCCCCAATACTACGATGGTCAGTCATAGTTAACCACTAAAAACGACTGTAGAGAATATGAAACATTAATACTTTAATTGATTAATGAACCTGTATGGTCCTTTGGTGACGTGTTCATATACTTTTATGTACTTTGTTGAGGGCTGGGTTTTGTTCGAAATTGTTAAACAGTTTTTTTTCAATGCGTACTGATACTAAAGTTATACATTTATTTGTTACCTTACTTTTTTATAAATGTAAACCTGTAGGGTTTTCTTTTCATTTAACAAAAAAAAGAAGTGTCCAATGTTTAAATATTGTTTAAACACAAGCAGCCATACGGGATCTTTAAAATGGTCAAAATGTTGACGTAACTTTGAGTATAGACAATGTTTTTTTGTGTTTTTCGACCCAGGAGCCTATGGATGTCGTAGAGCTGTTTGGACTGAAGGGAGTCCAGCACACACCCATCAGCATCAAGAATGCCAGAGTGTCCCAGGTAAACAACAGCCTCATTTAAGGTTTAACAGAATTCATATCAGTGAGATCACAGATTTGCACTGAAAAAGTGTTGGAAGTTAAAGCCATTTTCACACAAATTTGTGTTTCCTCTGTATGCATCACTCCGAACGGACAAAGATGAAAATGTTTTGAGGTTCAGCCTCAGTAGGTTGTGTTTCTGTTGTGAAAGTCTGTCTCTGCTCTCTGTCACTCAGCACTACAAGGCGAGTCTGACTGCAACATTCAACCTTCACCCAGTGAGTACTTTGATTTTTATTTTTATTTTTTTGTCAAGATAAACATCAAAAAATACTCTTTCATGTAGTTGATGAATGGAGCAGCAAGGTGTGTGTCGTTAAAGTAATACTACTTTTCAGTATTTAACACAGGCTGTAAAAGACGTTTTCTGTTTTCAGTTTGACTCTTATTTAAGAACAGCAGCGTTTTTTTACTATACTTATTATTAAGTGCCAGATGACAGATGGATATCTCATGACAGCACAGACTGATTATGTGTTATTTATTTATTTTTCATCAGGATTCCAACTTCGCAATTGTCCTAGAAGAAGACCTGGATATCTCCATTGACTTCTTCAGGTACATTGTCCAGAATGCACAACCATTACCAAAGATAGGCAGATAACTGTGAAATTATCATATGTACCAGTAGAGCAGAATAATAAGTCAGCTTATCAAAGACGCACAAAACGATAAGCAACAAGTATTTTAAAGATCTGTTAATTATTGTTTCAGTCAGTTGTGTAGCAGCGGTGCCAAACGTTTGCTGTTTTGCTCAAATGTAAGGATTTAATGCTTTTTTTTTTTTTGTCGTACATGATGGTAAATTGAATGTCTTCAGGGTTTGGACACAAAGACCATTTTAAAAATGTAACCATGCGCTCTGGGAAATTCAAATTTTCAAATTCGCTTTATTGGCATGAATGTATAGCAACAATATTGCCAAAGCTACATATAAATTACAGAAGGACAAATAATTTAGGTCAATTAATAAAGGACAGTGGACAAGGACAATTAACAAAACTCTGGGAAATTATAATGACCATTTATTATTTATTTCCTTTCACACCATTGGATGAGACCGTTTTGGTATCTTTTAAATGGACATTAGCTATAAAAAAAAAAATTTCTGGTCCTAAATAGAAGTTTGTGGTGTGTTTAAAAAGAATTTACTGCTACCATGGTACAGAGCCAGGTTCTGGACTTCACAGTATCAGCAGAGAGGGCCCATAAACCCTCCCAGCTGCCTGAATCACCACTAGGTGGCAGTAGATCCGCAGCGATAAAGCCGTTGTCGGCTCTGTCAGAAACTCCAGCCTTCCTTTGTTGGACAGACTCGGCTTTGAACTGCATGTTTGCTGCTGTAAAAGCTCCAGCTCCCCTCTTGGGCTGAACGGCCTGTTTGAAGTGCCGACTTCAGACGGCATCTCGCTCTGCTTTAATGCCAGTTTGCTCTCTGAAACGAGTGTCAAGCTCTCAGTTAGAGTGCGCCGAAAACCAAAGTGTAGCCTGCTGCAGACTTTTTTGTTTACTGTTATAAACTCAGCTCTTCCGGTGTGTGTGTGTGTGTGTGTGTGTGTGTGAGAGAGTCCTTACAAAGTCCTGAATTCAATTTTACAAATATCAAACTGTAGGAATATGAAATTGTCCATTGATTTTATGATTTGTTTGTTTTCCTTTTGTCAGAACTAGCCAACCTAATGCTTGGAAAATCTAATTTTCTGGACTGTAATAGCAGCACATTAATGCCCATAATTTATGAATGATGTGTTAAACCATCATCATCATGTCACAAATGTCACTTTGCCAGCTGTCGAGTGGAATCTTCCCGCTTAACGGGACCAAAAACTGGTTAATTTCTTGATATATTGTTTGAAAGGATAGGTTAAGGGTACATTTTATAAAAGAAAATAAAGTACCCAGGTTTAAAAATTTCAGAATTACCCTTTAAAAACTGTTGCTGTCAGTTTACTGTTGCCTGGTTTTTATGATGATGATGATGTTGATACTGACGTAGCTGCTTTTGACTGCACTAATGCCGCTTCTCTGTTTTCCCTGCAGTTTTCTGAGTCAGACCACCCACCTGTTGGATGAGGATGACAGCCTGTACTGTATCTCTGCCTGGAACGACCAGGCGAGTGCCGACTGCTTCACTCGCTCATGCTGTACCTGCCTTCCTCCTAAAGCCTCCATCTCCTCCTGTCCATCCCATTTATTCATCTCTTTAAGGGCTCATTTGTTATGAGAGTTTATCTGTGTCTGTCCGCTGTGTATATGTTCTTCCTCCTCTTGTCATCCCACACCTTCTTATTTTTTTTTTTTACACACATAGCCTAGTTCAGACAGCGACAAGCACGGCGACTTGCAAGCTATTACAGTTCTGTTGCAGTTGAGACAGACAGGTTTGTGTGTCTTTAGCTGTCAACAGTTGCGTCTGAATGTCTGGAGGTGTCAGGATTGTTTGGAGTGATCTCAACAATAGATCGTGTGATGGGGTGATCTATCAGTTTTCTTTTAACCTGAGGGCGTAACTTAACATCGTTCACTGAAAAAGTTCCCCTCTCTCTGGTTTCTTTCCAAGTTTTCTCCTTGCATCTGTGACTTACTGCGGCTGTTTTTGTACAGGGCTATGAGCACACAGCGGAGGACCCCGCCCTGCTGTACAGAGTGGAGAGTATGCCCGGCCTGGGCTGGGTGCTGAAGAAGAGCATCTACAAGGACGAGCTGGAGCCAAAATGGCCGACACCTGAGAAGGTGCAGGATTGATCTGTTCTGTATTTAAAGAACCCTGTGCACATTTTACATCCCTGCTCACCGTTTTCCAAATCACACCAGATTCCAGTCTTCCATTGTCTCAGTTAATTTCTTTGAAAATGACGAGGTAGTCCGTCAGACATATGGCCGCCATTTTGTTATGGATTTATTGACTGTTGCAGGCAAAGTCAGAGACTAGCTATTAAAAAAATAAGTGGAATCAAATACAGATTTTGTGATTTTCGGTGTTTCGTGTCTGCAGCATGTAGCAAATATCTGCAAGTACATTTTCATAGAATGAATTGAAACCAGTGTTTGCCTGAAAGAAAAGAAATCAGTCTAAAGAATGATGGTATGAATTAAGTATACAAAAGTCATAGTTAAGTAGTTAAAATAAGAAAAATCCACTTCCTGTTTGTGTATGAACTGTGTGTGTCTCGCAGCTGTGGGACTGGGACATGTGGATGCGAATGCCGGAGCAGAGGAAAGGCAGAGAGTGCATCATTCCCGACGTGTCCCGCTCTTATCACTTCGGCATCATCGGCCTCAACATGAACGGCTATTTCCATGTAAGATCCAAAGCAAAAACATTTAAAACTTTATCAGCACGACAGGATTCGGCCTCAAAATCTTCATCAATCCTGTTTTTATAAATTGCTAACTTTGTAGTCTTAATAATTAAACGTGACTTTTATTAAAACCATAAAGCTGTAATACAGTCACTAGCTAGAAAACAACAGTGCACCACAATAATTATAACTTTGTTTAAAGTAACAAAGGAGGTGTTTCTTAGCCTGGTGTGAAACCCTATCTGAGGATATAGTTATTTAAAGTGAAATGACATTAATATAATGTCTAATTGAAGTCCTTGTAGTAAAACAGCTGGCACGCGAGGGTAAATCCTTTTCTGATCATATTTTCTGCCATTTTTTTTCTGTCCCATAGGAGGTATATTTCAAGAAACACAAGTTCAACACTGTTCCCAATGTGCAGCTGAAGAATGTTGACAGGTGTGTACTAGTAGGCTGTGTTCACTGATTTGCTACCTTACATACCACGATTTCTTGAACTGTATGTGGAAAATAACTTTGACCGCAACACGGTGTTCTTCACAGCTTAAAGAAAGATGCTTATGAAGTGGAGATCCAAAGCCTGCTGAAGTGAGTGAGATACAGAAGAGACGCTGACCCCGTAGGTGATTTAGATCACATTAGAAGCTTTAGATAGATGTTACACAATTCATGCTGTGTGTGTGTGTGTGTGTGATCGCAGGGAGGCAGAGGTACTGGACCACACTAAGAACCCGTGTGAGGACTCGTTCCTTCCAGATTCGGAGGGGAAGACCTACGTCATGTTCATTAAAATGGAGACAGAGACGGACACATCCACCTGGACGGAGCTCGCCAAGGTATTCAGTCAGGACAGGAACACCCTGAATTGCCCCTGGTGGCTGTTCCACCAGTGTATGAATGTGTGTGACTGGTGAATGCGATGAAGTGTAGAAAGACTAGCGGCAAACAAATACGGAGCATTTACACTCCTTGGTGGACTTGTAAGAGGTCCATGTCAGTTGTTGTGCATATATTAGCCCGTAACCTCTAACCAAGTTTTCTGGAAAGGACTGCAGATGGTATTCTTAATCATACCATTGATTTTTTTATTTATATTGGCGTTCTACCTTCCAGGCAGCGTTTGGATTCAGTTGACTGATATCCTCCACTGTTAATATGTTGTTGACTCAACATTTTGTCATAGTTACGTTATGCAGTTTTATGTTAGTGCTGGAATGGACCAACTCCTCCCCATTGGTCCCTTTTTGTCTGTTTTTATTTATTGAAGTTGTCGTCTCTTCAAAACAAATCATTCATATGTTTTATTGCTTTTGGCTAATGAAATGAACCTTAGCTTTCCATCAGCAATTGGATTATTAAAATAATTATTGTCCTTCTCTGTCTCCTCCTCAGTGCCTCCACGTTTGGGACCTGGACGTTCGGGGATACCACAGAGGCCTGTGGCGACTCTTCAGAAAAAGGAATCATGTCCTTGTGGTAGCCGTGCCAATCTCTCCATACTCGTAAGTAAAGCTCATTTTACTTAGTGCGTTGGCATTGATGCGGGAGTCTGCATGATGCTGTGCAGCCCAGAATCTGACACTTACACTGCACCTTTATGAACATGCCCAGCTACAAAGACGCCCAATAAAGGTGTGCATGTCTTGAGTTATATCATGGACTTAACACCTCCATAGCTTTGTGGCTGCCTTTTGTTTGTAAGAGTATCTTAAAAGACTATAGAACTCGGTAACGTAATAACGTGATGTCATGCTGCATTGAGTCACCTATCTTGTTGGGAGCGAGTTATCTGTGCAGCACTGCAATTATATCATGATGACACTTGACCCTGTTGCAGCTTTCCAGATTGATCTGAAGTATTGAGTTTTTTGGCTTTAGACAGTGCAGCTTCTGGTCTCTCAAGGCAATTAGGTCCCAGGTGAGGGGCCAGACTGACCCCTTGGGTACATGCCAAGTCTCTTATTTGATATTTCCTTGCTCCTTGCTTGAATCTGAAGTCCGCTGGTTCATCTGCTCTCGTCTCGAAGTCTTTCACTGGCCAACACGCACCCTTACTGGATATCAGTTATTGATTGGACGCTGCAGCTGATAGGATTGATCTGATACATCCAAACATCATTTGAGTTTCATACTGGAGTGAAGACAGATAACAGATTAAATTCAAGCTTTAGATTTGATTTGTTTTCTGATTTACCATCTAGTTAAAAATCTGCGTTCATCTGATCAACAAATGACCACAAAACTTTCTGCATTTATTAAAAAGATTTTTCTTTCACTATATTTTATTATGGGTGAAGATAGAGATGGCAGGAGAGTCTGGCTGTCAGCAAGAAATCACATAATTTATCGTCAGTTCCATTCAGTCGCATGCGAGGCTGATAATTCCTGAGCATTTGCTTTGATATGAGTTCAATCATCGTTTCACTTTCCCCTGAAACATTTAGCTTAATAAATCATTTCCAATGTTCAAAAGAAACCATCATCATATTCTGGGTTATTCAATAATGAATTCACAATCAGAATATGAAAAAATACAGATGCAGATAATGAATAAATAATATAAAGGCACTCTGCCAGTAGAAATGATCCTGTTCCTCTGAGCAGGACACAGGATACAGAATAAATACAGTGAAAAACAAGTGAAAAAAGAACTGTGTAACTTTATTAGCAAAGTGCACGTTTGCAGACTCCATCAAAAGAGCCCACTAACAGCTGACTTACCTGATTTACCTTGTTTATATAAAAAGGTAATACTAAAGAAAGTTTGGTTTTCTTCTAGTCACAGACATAACTGACTAAATTTGAAGTGTATCTCTTGTGAAAAGGAAGACAGAAATATGCATCTGAAATGGAGACATCCTGTAACTTCCTGGATCTGTGTTTTTGGGAAAGCATATCCACGCTTAAGGAATAGGGAAACCGCCGTTGAACCAAGGTGGAAACTGAGACTGGGGGTGTAGCTCACAGGTGGTAATGTCCCAAGAATGACACCGAGCGATTGCAAGTTTAAATTCATACATGGATTTATTTTGCCGCATGTGGAGGACGAATGTCACATTAGCAACGCGACCAAACGTGCAATCCTGTCTCCCATTTCCAGCTTGGCGACTATACTTATATATGTCTAAACTACTAAACAAAAACAGGAGCACACCCGAAGTCCAAATGTTGCTCTTTTTTAAACCTATCAAATTCTCATTTCATGGAAGACAGTTTGGTGGTTATTACCAAGTTAATACATTTTAGTCTTGCTGTTTGTCTACTTAAATGGCTGCAGCCTGAAACTCGTTATTTACAGTCTTATTCTCATCTGTGGTCGTATTTAAGTTTAGTTTATTTGTAGTAAAGCAGCAGCAACAAATATTTTGTTATTTCTGCAACAGATAAAAAATGTCTCAGAACATCTTCATTCACATTTCAACACATTCAACATTTAAAGGAGAAAAGAAAATATAACCGTGCCCATCCCAAGCAGCAAACACAACAAATATGTGACCGTCTGTCTCTTTCCTATCTTTTACCACTGCCTGTCCACTCTCTGTCCGTCTCTTTGTCTCATGATCAGTGTGAAGAAACCAGCCAGTGTCACTCCCATTCACTTAGAGCCTCCGCCCAAAGAAGAAGGAGCACCGGTGGAGCAGCTGTAGACCTGATGTTACACACACACACACACACACACACACACACACACACACACACACACACACACACACACACACACTACAACCAGCCCAGGCCTTAACTCTTCTTCTTCTCTCTCCATCAACAACCACTAATAATCCAGCCTGGGACTCACAACTGCAAACTGACATTTCCTAGATGTTGAACTTGAGTATGAGGGGATACTTGGGGAAATGAAGTCCTGATTTCTTTTCCTTTTTTTTATTATTAAAACAAGAGAGGGACTAACACTACAGACTGCACTACTAAATCCGTCCATCAGCTTGAGGAGTGACGGAGAAGCTAAATCCAGTTTCGGTTAAACGTGACAAACTAAACGGTGAATGACTGTCAACAGCTTTTCTGGTTCATTTCAATTCAATCTGTGACTTTTCAGCCAGAATGGTACAAATGACTCAAACACACACTCAGCAGAATTTAGCCACTTTTCCTCTTGGTTTGTTGTGTGTTTTTTATAACTACTGAGTGCTTTGACCATTTTGTACATACGTTTTAACTTATCTCTATTTATTTTACATCTATCAATCAAAAATGATTTTAGGGGTTTGTTTGCATTTTTAATTTTTAAAAAAAGATCCACTTTTATCAAGTTAAATGCATTTTTTTAAGAGCCTAACGTTTACAGATAATGAAATAATAATGTATATACATGTCTATATATATTTTTTGATGAAAAACGGTCAGCATATTTTTCAGCATCAGATCTAAGTTTGTGTGAAAGAGTTGATAACAGCCCTGTGGGTTTTTACTATTGTGACTGCTTGGGTCAGTTGCCTCCGATGGGGTTTCATTAGGGAAACACATTTGGTGGCTGAAAGAGACAAAACTGAGACAATATTCACAGATTTAGCAACATACACCCGACTTCACTAGGTGGAGTCTTTGCAGTGCTTCTTGCATTTAGACCACATACACAGAACTGAAATGTACGTCCTTTTTTTTAAATGAGGAAAAAATTGTATTTAGAAACTGCTTGTATTCCCGAAAGTTAGGTTCAAGAAAAAATATTGTTGGTGCCAAAAGTCCGTCATCAGCAATAGGAAATTGGAAATTTCCAAATGCTACCCAGCCCTAGAAAATAAATTATAAAAATGTAGAATTTTTGTTGCATTTCTTCGCTTCATTATTTTCTTTTTGTTTTAGAAATGCTGCCTTTTTATTCTGCCAGTTGCATGTTCCTGAATGCAGCGTATGTGTGAAATCTGTGAAAAATTTGCTTATTCTCTCTGTGTGCAGAGGTTTGACCTCCCTCAGCCACCATAGCAGCTGGAGGCTGGTTATTTGCCTTATTGTTTTTTTTCATTGTGACCTTCATCTGTGGTGGAAATGTTGGGATGTTTGTTCTGAAATGTCATCGGCCAGTTGTCACCAACCAAATTGATTCTCCAAGATGTGACAGTTAAAATCTTTAGATGGAGGCTCAGCGTGATCGTGGTCGCTGCTTTTGTTTTAGTTCCGTTATTTCAAAATCAACATAAATATCTTGTTTTTTTTCGTCTGAGTTAAGTTATTTTTGTCATTCTTATATTAAACTTTAAATATTATTTAACCATTCTTATCTGGAGATGAGAGATTCAAAATCATAATTTATCCAGATCTCTTAATTATGAGATACTAAGTTACATCTTCAACATTTTCTTTGTATAACGCAGAATGTTTTTAATGAGTATTTGTGTGTTCAGAAGACTACATATTTACCATTTGAGAGTACCACTTATCAGCAGTATTACAGCCCGTGTCGTGACTGAATTAATCTCCATTTGTGTCCTGGAAATTTCAGACTCTGCCTGCTGTTTAAGCTACTTTTTCATTTCGCTCTAATTTTATGTACATGTGTGCTTCTCTTTGTTTAATCGAGAGGTTAAAACAAAATCATTGTCTCCCCAGAAATACAGCTAATTTTGTTAAAATGCTGTGAGATCATTTGGAAAATACTGGGAGGTACGCTGAATGTGTGACAATGAGGATCCGTGGACATAATGTTAGTTTCTGATGCGGTTTGACATGTATAAGTTCCTTTTTATCTTTTGTCATGGAAATGAATAAAGATGTTTTTTACTGAGGATTCATAGTGGAGCTCCTTTTTTTATTTTGAGGCCTTACCCTACAGTATATTGTTGAAAAAGTTTATACATAAGGATTTATTATTGGTGCATATTATTCATAAAATAAACTTGGAGCTGTTGTTATTCTTGGCTCAGATGTTTTGTGTAGCCTTGTGCTGCCTGCATATTTCTCAAGAGTACTTCAGGCAAAGCAGTGGTGGCAGGAAATGCATGCAGTGAGGGAAATGTATGCAAATCCTCAGGGCTCGGTGGGTTCCTGCAGCCGCTGTGGGCTACCCAAGGACAAATGTGGCTTCTTGACCTTTTAGAGCTCTCATTTTCAAACCCTGTGGTGAAATCAACCAGAAAAGATTTAGTCAAAGTCCAATTGGAGGAGGGGGAGGGGGGGGGGGGTGTTCAGTGCGATTGCAACTTGAATCTATTCATTCTGCAAGGGGATTTTTCCACCTTTCCAAGCAGCCTTTTGGAGACACAGCTAGCCCAAGTAGTGGCATCGGCAGATTTGAAACTTATTTGATGAGTTTAGTCTCCATCACAGGCAACATCATGTCGGCTTTTACTTCTGTCAAATTTAAGATATTGTTTCATAATGCACTGCAGACTACTGGTAACATAAAACTCCATTTTTTATTTCTGTCTTGGGACTTAGAAAATGCCCACCACAGTTTGGGCTATTATGTTTTTGGCTAGTCAAGTCCATGTTAAATTAAGTGTAAGTAGTTTGAGACAAGTCGGGGAAAATTGTTGTATTATTTGAGACAAAGTCCTTTCCACACAGATGTCTAATAATTAAATATTCCAGCTATGCATGGCCTATCAGTCACTGTCAAGCCTGAGATAAAAGCCCATATGATGTCATGGTGATGTCACCTTGGAAATCTGGTTTGGACTTTAAAAGCTCATTTGGCAGTGAGGCCCTTATCAAGGTACTTTATCAAGTTGCAACATGGGAAATGTAGGGTTTTTGGATCTTGGTGCAAACTCAACTGTCTCTTATGAGAGTCTGCTTCAAGTAGCTAATTCTTCTCCTAAAGGATAATTCTGGTTTATAACAATTTGGGTCTTATTTTCATAGTTTTGTTCATCACCAATGACCAGTAGCGTTGCTCTTCTATCGGTCATGAAAACACAGTTCTCACCCTGGTCTGGAAACATGAGCAGACAGACGATCGGGCATGTTGTAAACAAGCCCGCATGTTTGCCAAAATAATTTTGGAAGACAAAACACAAGTGAACAACAGGAGTCTGTTAACATCTGTCGCAATTTACATAGTCACTTCCTGGTTTAGACCTGACCAACTGTCTGACTAACTTGTGTTTCTTTACCTGTCGGGCTTTGTCGTAGCAATGTGTTCCCAGATCTCATCAAGTAACGGCACGATATTAATATTACTGATAGAAGCAATTGACACAACTACAAGCAGAAGAAGAACCAAGTTGTTATAAACTAGAAAGAATCTGCTGAGGCTGCATGAAGCCCATCCATCCTTCATCCGTCAGGAAAACACTGTTGTTTTCGAACTCTGTCATGTGTTTGTGAACTGCTGTCGGTGTTTGTGTTTATGAACCTGCCTGCTAGAAAACATTTGCATCAGGTCTAATTAAGATGGATTTTCTGACAGATTGTAAAGTAATAGCAAATGTGCGCGTTACTCCGTGTGTGTGTCTGTGTTATTAACTAACTGACAGAGCCAACAGGGTCATGAAGCTTTCCCCCCCCCCACATTAGGCATGTGTTTGATTGTCCACACACACACTTGTCTGTCGTCAGCACCTCCAGCTTCAAACCCTTTCATTTGTGCCTGTCAGTCAGAAGTCGCTGGTTCGTATCAGTGTGTGTTTGTGTGTGTTTGTGTGTGTTAGCCGCCTTAAGTGTCATTTTTGACCTATTGAGCGTTCTGATGAACTGAGCTCAGAGGCTGATGGCTGAGATGTGGATGGAATATTGATTTTTTTTTTTGTGTGTGTGTGTGTGTGCGCCTTGGGTTATTGTTAAACATGGAGCTCAGCAGCACTGCGATGATGACAGATTTAACTCTGAATACCTCGCCGATGTATAATTGGATGAAAGGATGAAAAGGGGGTTGTCTTCTTGCTCCCTTTTCCTCCCCGTCTACGCATTTCCTTAGTCTTAGTCCCATGACACACATTAGTGAATGGCCACAGCAGAATTAATAATATACAAAAGGATGTTTTGTATTACCAGTTATTACCTGACTGTACCTATTTAAATGCATGAGCTATATTGTCTCAGTATTATCAACAGTTTTGCTGTGCTTTGTCTTAAGTAACTGCACAATTAGCACCTCCTACAATTGTCAAAGTCACCCCTTATGTATTAACTTAATTATTGTATTAATTAATTTGTAATGTTGTTTGGCACTGCTAAAAAAGAAGAAGAAAAAAACCCCTGTTGTAAAAAGGGAGGATTGTGCACTTCCAGTCACCTGAAATTTGACTCCCTTCCAAGAAGCGTTGAGTTGAATTGGCAGTAGCAACTGGAATTCAATGCAAAGAATATGTATAGTGGCCTTGTTGATAAGCTAAAGTGTTGCCTATTTATACACCGAGTTGACACAGAGCAACGTTAGCATTTATTTATAGAATTTGTATGAACCGGATTAATGTTAATCAAAAATCTCACTCTCCTTTTAGCGCTGTTTTCCTCTCCAACAGCACCTGAGGAAAACACCTGGCTGTCTTGTAGCTACACGTTCCACTAACTTTCTCTGCCTGCTGTTTGGTGATGGGAAGGTAGTGTACCGTGGGGTTTACAGTTTATTAGCTGGTCGATATTTACTCAGCCTTGTGGCACAATGCATGTAATCTTCAAGGGCAGGAGATGGAATATTGATGAATAGTATAAAGGACAAAAGATGTACTGAGCTCTGCTTCTTCCTTTCACAAGCACGGCCTGTCGTATAGAGGAATCAGGATTTAAATACATGTTTTTGTATAAAGCTGTACAGTCTTGACAACAAGGAAAAATTGTGGCCTTGAATCTAAATTATTAGTGGATTAAAATTGAGATCTACAATGGGCCCCCACCCTTGCTACATAGAAGCAAGACACCCAAGCATTGCTTTGTGGTAGTTTTGTTTCTTTATGGTCCTTTTGCATCTCTTTGAAGGTCCCGTTATGTAACCCATCCCTAATCTCAATCATGCTACAAAGAAAAAGTTTCTTTAGTAAGTAAAGTGTATTTAATATGTTGGCACCTTTCATAGGTCACAAAGTTCTCAACAAGAGTAAAATATTAGAAAAAAGAGTTTATCTTAGTGTTATAAAGTGTTTAGAGTTGCTGGCTGTGGATGTATATTTCCCAACTATATATTGTCATTTATATCCCGATATCCCTCAACATACAAGCACCGGCATCTCCTGGAGAATTCAAAAAATAATGCGTTTTTTTGTTGTGGCAGTTTCAATTGTTTCAACTTTGTTTCTGAGAAATTTCATCAACAACTTCTGTCCACTGTTACTGGTACACACACCATACGTTTAAGCCAGGATGGCCGTTTAGGGCTTCCGTACAAGATGCCTCCTACTTTGAAAGTCTGTTTACACACTCAGCAGACAGAACAAAGTGATCATCCCATGGGAGTCATGAAGTTAGTTGCTGTTAATATTCCCTCTCCTTTAGCTCTGTTTTGGTCTCCACCAACTCCTGAGAAAAATATCAGTCTTAAGTACTAGATGTTCCAGTTTCTTCTTCTTCTAACTGTGTCTGTCAGCCCGTTTTCTGTGGGTTCAGAACTACAAGTGACACCTTTGATAATACACGTAGTAATGTGATCCATGGTTAATACCAAAAAATATTGATTCATTGTGGCAACATTTGCATTTCCATAAAACGTCTCAATGTCCATTAAATGCACAGGGAGCAATCAGGTAAATGCAGTCAGCACTCAGTGAATACTGTTCGATATATTTTATTGGCAAATATGAAGTATTTACACTCTTGCTTATAAACCTTTCCACTATATATAAAATACAATCATTATAATTGTGACGATTTTATAGTAAAGTTAGAAATCTCCCTGAAACAAGGGGACCCAGAAAGGAAAGAGACTGTCCTAACTGATAGATTGTTAAATAAAGCAGATTCCTGTCATGTTTTCACTGAAGGAGCTCAGCTGACTCATTTCTCCAGGTGGCAGTACAGGTACATGGACACTGTCATGGCACCAATCTTAGGAAACACAAGAAAAAACACACGTTTATCTGTTTTTGCATCATATTTTCTAAAACCAGGCTGACTATTTTGTATCAAATTTTACAGAAGTCCAAATTTAATTCTCACTTTCTCACAAACATCTTTTCTCTTTAAAACGTAAAAATGTAACCCATGAGAGTTACTGTGCATTCAGACCAATACGCGAAGTGAAGTTTGGGGGCGATTACATGCGATTTCCTGTCGTGCGGTGCAGAGGATGCGCTGCCAGCTACGCGAAGGAGAAAGTTGCATGATATTTTTGTCGTGAAAGCCTGTGAGCGTTGAGATTGTCCGGATGTCACTGACAGCTTCAGAGCGTTGTTTGGAGAGGACCGGGCAGAGCGGCGGGATAGGGTCTCTGCAGGCCGACAGAGAGCTGCTGAGCTACGGGGAGCTGTGAAGGACAGAGCCGGAGCAGCGCTGGAGCTTTTGGACACATAAACACCCGCAGCTGGACTGGATTCTGCAACTGCACCGTTTACCTTCGGGAGGAGCTCAGAGTTAACTGCTTGTATTACATTAACTTTTTACTTTAATTTTTAGGACTAAAACGTTGATTTATCTTCACTCGTGCTTCTCAGAACCGAGCCACCGTGTGTTTCTGGTTCCACTGTTGTTGTTGGTACCCAAACATTTCATATCATTCGATATTGATGGTCATCACGATAAATGTCAAATCATTATTTCTTTCAAGTTTAAAGGCAGATTTTTGCTCCTGAGTGAATATTGAAGAAACCAAATTAAATATGTGGTTTAACTTTTCTTTATGGTCAGAATGTGGCA